TTGCGTCTCATGGTTGGGGGTGAATTTCTCGCTGTTAGTCGCTGAAGTAAATGCCTGCCCTCATACCAAAGGTTTAAAACGTACGCCTTTGGCAACCATTGTCAGGTCCTGTGTCGAAACGACTTACTCGGCCAACAAGGAATCTCGCCCATAGCCTTTCGCTGGGACTCTCGACAATAGGGGACAGTGTAAGTTTGGCTTCATTCTGTTCAGCATATCGGCTTGTGTAAAAGCTAGGACGGTCGGTTTTCAATATCTCCAGCCAAACAAACTGAATTCATTCACAGGACGCACAACGAGGGACAATGCCTCTGAAGTTTTCTTTCTTGGTTCGCGCTTGGAAAATTACAGACAATTTGCTACTCGTCACGGATCAAAGTGAAGAAACCAGATCATTTATCCTTAGTTATTTCATGTTTGTTTTATGTATTTATATGCAAATAACCTGCTTTGGATAAAGAACATACACGTATATAGCAGCTCTATATAAACCTTTGTGAGAGCGGTTATCACGAAAACTTATTTGAAAATACAATGAATATGAACATGTACACGTATTTGTGTAGTTAAGATACATAAAATTACTTCGATTAAATTAATAACCGATTAAAATAGTTCGATTTCATATCTTTAATCAGCATATAGTTATTTGGTGTTATTGGAATCTTAAAATACTTACATATAATATTTCAGTATCCATGCAGATTTTCCAATGTGTATACACGAATGTGTTTTCATATTATGAACTTCAACTTGAACATCTACACATACGTATGTATACTCTTATATGCATTACCATGCATGTAAAGGTATACAAATATTGATTTTGTTAAAATTAGCAATATGTACCGAAACATTCTCGTAAGTCAATCAATCAATCAATCAATGAACAAATACAACTTTGGTACAGATACGCCGAGGCAGACTTGTTTATAGTCTACTATACAAATTGTTTGTATTGTTCTATCATCGATTACTTTGCCTGCGGATTGGGTGGTCACACAGGAGCCCTAAGTCGGGAGTTACTAACGGAACTAATTACCAATATATATTTTTATTGATTTCACAATTTTCTTGTTTGGTGTTAATGAAGTCTTATGATTTGAACGTCCCTGTTTCAATATTCCATTGAACTCATGCAATATTGTCAACAGAGAGTCGGGTAGGAATTTGCCGAATCAGATAAATAAATATTTTATGTGTATGATAACGTCAAAGCAACCAAAAAAAACCCACAAAACACCCACGGAAATGTACATTTAAGGATTTTCTATTCCAAGAAAATTCGTATGTATTGATTTCGCTGTGATAGTAAAGTAGTGAGTGAGTTGGGTGTAACACCACTTTTCACAGTGTTCCAGTTATATCACGGTGTGTCAGCTAACTGTGGGAGGAAAGCCCGAAGTGATGCAGGTCTCAGACGTTTAGCACTTCGGTGAAACCCACGAGCTCGGATATGGTGCTGACAAACCTAGAAACATATTCGGGGCGAACCGGGATTCGAACCAACAACCATAGGTTTCTGGCATGCCCAAGGGACGCAACTCTGACTCTGAACAGCGAATCTCGGCGCCTTACCCGTGCCGCCCCCATCAATGTCCTTTCTTTTACATCAATGACGTGAGGTGGAATATGCGGCCGTCGGCAATATTCCAGCTATATCACGGCAGCCTGCAAATTATCGAGTCTGGACCCGACAAACCGATGGTTGAAAGTATGAGCATCGATCCTCGCAAAGTAGGATGCGATGACAGCAGCCAGGTGAGGTACTGTAAGCATCCGACCATTGATGTAGTTGGGCGGTGGGGTAGCCAGTCAGTCTGTAGTAATGTACATGTAATCGAGTTTACATGCAGTCATTTCACGACACTGTACAGTACACCTAAATTTTACACAATAAAGAACGCGTTAATCCGTCTGGGTGTGATATTAACTTCACCAATATCGTTCCAGAATCAAACATTATTCTATCCCTCGTTTGTTAAATATAGGTATGGAACACATTCGTGTATAATAATCTCTATATATGTACAAGAATATTGCGGATTGTATCCAATCTCACGTTCGACTATTTCCGTCAAGCCTGGCAGCGCCCTCTGTTGGCAGATTGGAATTTTCCGACAAATTCAGAATGTCATTACCATGTCTCTCCTGCTACGAAGTGCACCGTCATCGATCGGAACACAAAAATCAGTAAAAATAATTATATCATCGGACTAATAATTACCTATGAAACGACAGGCCAGGTAATTACTGTGAACTGTAAATTGAATTTCTAATGACATAAGTCCTCCTTATACGAATTATTTCTATAATTGCTTTGCAAATAAGCATCTGGATATTCTTAAGATCGAGATACGCTTAGAGGCTTGACAGCCTTAATTGATGTGTTGAGAGCTAACGGTTAAATGGACTGAACAATGGTAGGTGTTACCCAGATACTTCGTATAACATATCCTAAATTGGATAAAATCTTTCACGATATTTACATTCTTATTTCTTCATAACATGCATCAATCTGTTTTAATTATATAATAATGAGTTCACGTTCTGAAAAACCCTAGCATTACAGACTGTGTCTGTTTGTTGGTTAACGCCGTCTCAATCAGGGTGGTCTGAACATAATCCAGTCTGGACCAGACGATCCAGTGATTGATGTTGTGAGTCGTCGGGGTACGATGACCTTTTATCAACTGAGTCATCGCGTCTGACCACCGATCCATTGAGTCGCCACTTACGAACAGCATATGTATGGGGACTTGAACTAACCGGGATTTTTGTTCATACACAGCTTGGAGTAGACAACGCCATCGTCAATCTGGACAGTCCAGTGTCTATTAAAGTCGATAGTGTCACAATGTCAGTATTTATAGATTTACGTCACGTACTGTATTGTCTGTGTGGATCATTTACCCCAAGGTCCACTTGCACAAAGCGATGTTATCGCTAAGACTACCATAAGCCAATGCTAAAGTATGCGAGTTACGATCATCGTTGCACTTAGATTACTTTGTGAAAGATCCGGGTTAGAAGAAGTTTTCAGCAACCAATGCTTGTGCTAAGAGGCGATCGGATAGTCAGGCTCGCTGACTTGGTTAATGAATGTCATCGTATCCCAATTGCGAGAAATGATGCTCATGATATCAATCACTGGATTGTCTGGTCCAGGCGCGATTATTTACAGACTTACCTCATATAGAATTAATATTGTTGAGTGCGACGTTAAACCTGCATCTGCACAAACAAACAAACAAAACTTCGCTTCGGATGCATGTTCTGAAGACTCAGCACCACTGGCTGGGGCTAACGCTGGCTGGGACTAACGCTGGCTGGGACTAACACTGGCTGGGGCTAACACTGGCTGGGACTAACGCTGGCTGGGGCTAACGCTGGCTGGGACTAACGCTGGCTGGGGCTAACGCTGGCTGGGGCTAACACTGGCTGGGGCTAACACTGGCTGGGGCTAACGCTGGCTGGGGCTAACACTGGCTGGGGCTAACGCTGGCTGGGGCTAACACTGGCTGGGGCTAACACTGGCTGGGGCTAACACTGGCTGGGGCTAACGCCGGCCCCTGTGGGATAGAACCTAACGGGGTTCGCGATGTGGGTTAACTTTATTGAGTACTCAACAAACTGTTAATGATAACCAGGATTCCAGATGTGCAAAACTATTTTCCTCCTACATTAATCTGACACGCCGTTATATGACTGGAATATTGTTCAAAGCAGAGTTAGACCCAACTCACTCACTTTTAGTAGTGTGAGGTCATCAATTATTGAACAGTTAACCCTCCGTTACAATAATAGACTGTTCCAGGCCCGTGTTTCTTTGTTATGAGGGCGTTCACGTCTTTGATTGTGTTACCACATACCAACAGGATACCAAGAAGGGTCGTTTGAATAAAACAAAAGTATGTATTTGTGAAAACCTTACGCTTGGCGCCCTCGTATATATCATTCTTAAATATACCACTGTTCGTTCAGTCATAACAAGTCGCTGAATGACTGAAATAATGCTGATGCGACGTTCAATTTTAACTCACTCGCTGTCAAAACCCGCAAGTGCAGGAAATGGTTTATATTTTATGAACGCTTCAGTCATTATGTTCGTCTCCGTATGTGTAGATAATCGCTTTAAGTGGTACGCAACCTTCATTTTGGTTTTTACTTCAAGTTTGCTGCGTGTACACATATCGCTTTTCGGGGTCCCATAGAGAAAACATCCGGTTTCATTAACCTCGACCAGAATCCGGCATTCTCGTGTAAGGTAAGATACCAGGAATTGTACCCCACCCCTTCCGCCAATCATAGCGTAGATGTAGATAAAACACGTGGTGAAAAATCAAAGTTTGGACACGAATATTCAAATAGTTAGATTTCATTTTATATTTCTTTTCTTTTTTTTCGTGTTGTATTGCTGGAATATTGCTGAAGGCGGCGTAATGAGGTAAAATGGGGTTTAACGTCGCGTCGAAGATTATAATATTGCACTTATGTAGCGACGTTCATGCACGTGTGTGTGTGGCTTCAAGAAGAAAAAAAAAATGTTTTAATTAATAAAACACCACACAGCTATTTCAAGTATTATTGAAATTGGATGGTTCATGATCAGTTCTTTCATAAAAAGTGTAGTTCAAGCCCAACAAAGAAAACATTACTTCCTTGTCTTATATAATTACTAGCAGCATTTGTTGCCAAATGTCCTTTTGTAAGCATTGATGAAATAACCAAATTACTTACATAATATATATTGAGTGACACATAAAACTCGCGTAAGTAAGACACACGTTTTTAGTGATATATTGCATTAAATAAGTCCCCATATATGGCATGAAGTTATTTTTGACCAACACGTAAGATTGCAACTATTTGCTACATTTCTTGTCCCGTTATTGGAAATGTGTTTTTCAAGTCTACAAATATAGATCTAGAAATATTTGCACTAGCAGAAGAAAATGCGAAACTAAGGCTATCCCAACCGGAAGAATGACACAGCTCAGCATTACAACGCCATCTATACTGTTTACAAACACATGATGGAAATAACATAACACCCACTGGATAAGGGGCAGTCTCATGTTATCCCAAATGAATATGTTCAAGAAGAAAGGTACGACTAATTACGGCAATATTTAAACGTTTCCTCCAGTCAACTCAAGCGATTATACGAGTCTCGTTGTTTTAACACAGTCTGAACAGTGAACGGGAAGTTGAAACATTTTCAGATTCAGAAGCATGATCGATCAGCTGACTGACTGAATCTAAGAATGACGCACGAAGTAGACCAGAGGTCAGATGGAGTTACTTGTCATTGTTCTCGATGGTTTAAGTTTTGTTTGTATATTTTTTAGGAGTTATTAATGAGCAATCTGAGCAGCTTGATAATTTAACTTCAAACGTTTAGCCTAGTTCAGTTGACCATATTTACGTTTCAGTTGTGGAAACTATAGATTAAACAGATGCATCATAAAGTTATTTGTCTACATCATCTGCACATGCCACCTGCTCACTTCTTTGTGTATGGGGAGAAGCGATAATCATGATAATACAAGGATTTACAAAAGTCAACGACTGTCACATCGTATCAATGCCATTTGTAACGTGTGTATGCAGTCCTGCGTATTCCACTTTCCAGTCACTAACCTCAACCACAGGCTCTAGTATCACTGCTCAGATAGGAATTACCACACCTGCTTATGTCTTTATGTATGGATAGTCGAAGCATATATACATGATATCTGGCCAGATATAGTCTACATAATGTCATTATCATCATTATCAAGAAGCAGTGATACAAGGATTGTGCCTGCAGTGTGATTGTCAGAGCTTGGGTTTTAGATTGTTTTTTTGCATGATTGATGAGGGTGCATGTGGTCAGCTGCCCAGTGAGACAAGTTTTTAAAAAAAACCATGGAAATGAGTCACATGACAAATCAGGTTATAGCTAAAACAGCACCTCAGCAAAATGGCACCGATTGGCGAAAACGTTACCTCGCCTCATGCGAAAACGGCACCCTATTATTTTTTACCTTTGTAAAATAAATGAAATTAAACTCACATCGTCTCTTACAAACACCAATAATAGTGAAATGTTAAAACATGTTTACATTAGAAATTAGCCCCCTGAGTCAGCTACTATCACAATGCTCGGTGGGCCGATATTGTAAACTGTGATGAACACATGATGAAGATGAAAACTGTGAACATGGTGAAGAAGTGTATATGTGTGAATGTATGTAGTTATCTGTGAACAACTGGAAAATAGGAAATAACATGTAAATACATCAAATAATATGCAACAAATAACATAAATCAGATCATGCAGATATACTACTACATAAATCGTTCTTATCGTTATTAAATATAGAGGTGCCGTTTTCGCCGGTCACATAGTTGCCGTTTTCGCCAAATGTGGTGACGTTTTCGCCAAATGCGGTGACGTTTTCGCCAGAGAAATCGGTGACGTTTTGCAGTGGTGCCGCTTTTGCCTGCACACGACAAATCCCAATATTGTGCTGAATGCTGATGCACTGTTTCAAATCAGTCTTTGTTCCACAAAAAAACCGTGTTACATGGATAGACAATATACGTGTGCCATCTTACACGGTCTTCAGGGCCCTCTCAGCAGGAAGTCATCCATGAGACCAAACTCAAACGCAACATCACCAAGGAGTTCTCTAAAGTTCTCAAAGTCCTCCAGCACAGACATACCAATGATGAAAATGAAGTTCCCATCTACAGGTTTGTTTCTTTACTATTTCAGTAAATCCATATTTGTAAACATGGATAACAAAGCCAAAGTTTATATATTTCATGTTTGTCATTGTTTGGTAAACCATTTTAACCAATTCGTATTTGAACATTGTGAAAATAAATATATATTTGTGTCAGCTAATAACATGAATAAGGCTGTGTTGACTAAATACTTTTATCAGCATAGTTATACTATAGACTTTAAAAGATTTTTCTCCAAATTTGACAAATGCTGGAAATTCCTGCAAAGAAACTAATTACAGAGGGGTATTTCTGAGAATGAATATTAAATTTCAGTTTTGTGTTGGAATGTATATTGCAATATTGCCACATTTATTGTTGTGATACAGACCTCAGTGTATTGAATTTTTTAATTTTTTTTGACGCCGCATGCACCCATAGTCCAGCTAATATGTATGGCTGCAGTCTGTGAATAATCATGTCTGGACCAGACAATCCAGTGACTGATATTATGAACAACGATCCACCCTGTCAGTGTATGATGACATGCATTATGAATCATGTAACTGAACCCGACCACCCAATCCATTTGGTCACCTCTTCCGGCAAACATAGGTTGCTGGGCATTCTGACACTACACTACAGGTTCTACACTGTAACCAGGAATGGAAACTGGCTCTCCTCCAGAGCTCCAGATAACTTTTTGAGCAACTGAGTTTCAACTCGAAGGTTTCTATTTTAATTGGGTTATTACATTTTTCATTGGGTATCCAATATTTTTTCACTCATCTTTTCATCACTCTATTGGGTTTTTCCCAAAATGAGTAAGCATTTTGAGATTTAAACAAAAAATGAAATTATGTTTTAGATGTATTCATGGTTTATAACGGTTCTAGATATAGGCTTGACTCGGAAAGTAAATTAGCTCGTAATTGTGTTTTGGAAATTAGCTCTGTTGTACGCATGCTGAAAAAGCTTCATTTTTATTTTTTACCCGTAACCATGTCATCAAGTGCTTCTACTTTGCCAAAATTTTGGATAAAAGATATGTAAACATGGTAAACAAAGTGGTTGAAAAAGCCAAATGGTCAGAACAGTTTTGCAAATATTTTGTCTCACATGGTTTAAAATATTAACATGATTGAAACACCATATCATGCTCGTTTATCATTGAAAGTGAAACGGGAAGTGTCTGTCATCGCCTCTCAGCCTCATATCTATCGTCAATGTTTCAGTGATGATGAGGCCAACTCCCTCTGCAACATCCTGGAGGCTGTGTTCCTGCATGGTCTCAAGGACTCCGTGGCCAGCAAGGTCAGTGCAGTAATTGTAGTGCTAAATGGAACTATGTTTAAAGTGAGTGAGTGAGTATGGTTTTACGCCGCTTTTAGCAATATTCCAGCAATATCACGGCAGGGGACACCAGAAATGGGCTTCACACATTGTACCCATGTCGGGAATCAAACCCAGGTCTTCGGCGTGACGAGCGAACGCTTTAACCACTAGGCTACCCGACCGCCCCACTATGTTTAAAGCTTTGGTTTGCATAATGAATTGTTTAATTGAGAGAAATGTGTATCCTGGACTGAAGAAGTCTCCTTTTTATTAAAATCAAATGCAACAAAACATGTTTAATTTGAAACATTGTTGAAAAATATTTTTGTATAATGGCTTCAAGATGTTTTTCGTGTATTCTGTACAGACCAGAGTTGGGAAAATATGCATCTCAGATATGCATGTATGTTATTCTATTTAAGTACTCCTTAAATTCATATTTGAAACAGAGACTGCTTCGAGTCTATGTGAATCCTATGAATCACCGACAGTGACTGATAGTGACAAGTGATTCAGATTTGAGCATTGTCATTATCAACAGCTGGACATTTTGCTGACACATCACCATGTCTTAATCATCATGATCTGTGTTAATCATAGCTAATTTAATCATTTTCATCATCACACCAGACAAACAAGCAATATTGTTGTTTCTATTCATGTTATTGTTGTAAACTTCTCTTTCTTTAATACATCATCATGATCATGTTGAGACTAAAATGTCTGACTTTCTTGATCACTGTTGAAATGTATCCTTTTGCTAATGTGAATGCCAATGCTTGTTTCTGCTGGACACAGAGTCCTGTTTATGTATTATACTTGTCACTGACAGACTTGCCTGGCGACAAGAAAAACCTGTTTTGAACGTGAATCATGATTTAGCTGTAATATTGCTGACTGCACTAATTCTATTTACTCTTTCTCTGATCAGCCAGTGTGATCTGACCCGTACAGATCCGGCTTAGAACATCTCTTCAGCAAGCCATGCTTGCCGTAAAAGGCGACTTTGCTTGTAGTAAGAGGCGACTAATGGGAGCGGGTGGTCAGGCTCGCTGATGGTTGATGCATGTCATCGTATTCCAATTGCATGGCTCGATGCTCATGATGTCAATCACTGGATTGTCTGGTCCAGACTCGATTATTTACAGACCACCTTTATATAGCTAGAATATTGCTGAGTGTGGCGTAAACAACAAACAAACATGATTTCTTTGTTTGAATGTAGTAAATGTTTACTGGTCATCATGGTCATCCTGTCCACTTGCAGCTGGTCAGTTACATGAACTTCTCAACACCTGCAGCAGACAGCACAGTCACCGTAGTGAGTATAGGACCAGTGGTCAGTCAGGATATATATTCAGGGATTGACTGCAATATTATTTGCATTTATCATTTATTATTTGTTTATGGAGATGTAAACTTTTATAACGATGTGATTGTGTGTAAATCCATGTAAAAATATTCACAAACAGATTTCCTTTAGATGTTTCTCCCCCCCCCCCGCAACGCCTGTTCATGTTCAATTGTAGAATTCACATTAACAGGCAGTTTACTCTCTACAGTCCAAAATTTGTACACGTTGGGATACGCTGAGGTTTTACAGAACTATCAAATCCCCAGAACTCCTATGTAACATGCTTGAAGGTGAATGAATGATCAACTTTAGGAGAGCCTCATCGGCCAGCTTTTTTAATGACTTACAAATATTTCTTGTCAACATATATCAACTCATTAACCATTGTTAACCAATCAATTCACCAATGTGCACTTCCATTTGTGACATCACAGGTTTTTGTGTACACGACAAGCCCGAGCTCCATGCAGCAAGGCATTGTTGCCTACAGAAAGCTGTAGGAGTATCCCATGCACTGCAGTGAAGTCTTTGTATATTTTCAGAACTTCTGGAACTTCGTTGTGAAGTTCACACACAAAGATGTGATCTCGCAGCTGAAGAAACTTCCACAGATCTCAACAGACATAGGACTCTGCAGGGTAATGCTGTCGTTATCTAAAAGTTGACCTACTATCTTCCTAAAAAAGGACTAATGGACCATGTATTTATTACTTAATTTGTTCACATCATCAAAGTGAGTATGCAGTGATTTTAGAATTATGATAATTCCAAAATGAATTCTTGGACATCAGGAGGCTTTGAAGCCACTGGTGGCACTACGACTGAGTCTGGAAATTCTAGCCTAGTTCTGCAAGGGTGGAAACTGGACTTTGATAGTCAGTAAACGCCTTTGCCTCGGAAGGATGCCGATATGTCATCTTCTGATGACCCTTTTTATATACAGGTTTATAACAAATTACAGATGAAAGAATGCATGCAGTGTATTGCGACACATATCACAATACAGTAAACTACGTTTATAACGAACATGCTTACAACTAACTGACGGATATAACGAACCTAGTTTTTTGTCCCGACTATTTGCTGTCGTTATGCTGTATATATGCATATAACGAACTACGGTTACAACAAACTAAAATTAGTGGTCCCTTTGAGTTAGTCATAACCGTAGTTTACTGTACCTCAATCATTATTGCAATAAATTGCAATATACAAGTCTGGTGAGTACCATCACTATTCATTATAAACATAGTCTACTGTATTTCAGTTTTCGGTATTGTATGTTGACGTCTTAGATACAAGGGTTGTGCAAGGGGTGTTATCTTCACTGGAGGGATGGGGTTTAATGTCTGTATTTGTGCGTCACAGGCGTGGGTGAGGCTGGCACTCAATGATGGGCTGATGGAGAGCTACGTCGACTCCGTGGTTGCTGATGCCAAGACCTTGCAGTAAGTAGTTGCCCACACAACCATCAGCTCTGCATGTGGTCAGGGGTACAGGTGGCTCAGTGGTCTAAGGCGCCGCGATTCACTGGGCAGAGTTGCGACCCTTGGGCACACCAGAAACCTATGATTGTGGGTTCGAATCCCGGTTCGCCCCGATTATGTTTCTAGGTTTGTGAGCACCACACCCGTGCTTGTGGGTTTCACGGAAGTTTTAAACGTCTGAGGCCTGCATCACTTCGGGCTTTCCTCCAGCATTAAGCTGACACGCCGTGATATAACTGGAATACTGTTAAAAGTGGCGTTAAACCCAACGCACTCACTACATATGGTCAAGAAAATTTGCTGGATTAAGATGTTTTCTTTGCTGATGTGTTGTTACGATTTGGGATTTTATTTATTTTTAATTATATTTTTTTTCATGAAGAAGAGTTTACTGCAAATGAAGGGAGTGCTTGTTTCCGGAGGAGAACTCCAAAACTGTTGAATATTTCTGGATAAAACTCGCAATACAGATCAGTCTAGTGGTGAACTGGTGCTTTTGATGATTTGGGACTTGAGAAATACTAAACAGCATTGTTATTTTCTTTACTGAACGGAAGGTATTCAATGGCAGTGACCCAAAAGTGGGGTAGAAGTACCCAAACTCCATTTCCTAATTGCACCAGATAGGATTAGAACTAAACTCAAAGCTTTACTAGCCCGGGTAAAGATAAAATGCCCATGCATTGTTATAACAATGGTGAAACTTGTACCAGCCTGCTTGAATTTGTACTTGCCCTGGGCTAGTATATGTCATCTGATGACTCTTGTTTCTTGTCTGTTATTTGTAATATTCAGGAAACAAGGCCATGAGTTTATCAATTTTCAAATGTAGCCTTTTCTTGCCAAATTCTTGTATTCTTGAGCATATTGTTTAAGCTTATCAGTCAGTGTCCTGAAGTTGGGACTTTACAGGACGTTTATTGATAGGGTTACCAGCATCCTGTTCGTAGATGCCAGCATTCTGTAAGTAGGGTTGCGACGGGTACTCGAGTACCCGATAACGGGTCGGGTAGCTTAGGACTAGAGTCCAATTTTCAGGACTCGAGTACCTGTTCAGGGGAGATAACTCTAATCGCCTTTCGTAACTCGTAAGTCACTTCCAAATGGACGACAAAGCGGACAAACGTTCAAATGTTTTAGGTAAGCCATGCAGGCATTTAATAAAAAACCTTAGAACAGATCAATAGATGTTTGATGTCCTTTTATTCGCAAAAGCATTACAAACAAGTGGGACAACATTGAACTACGGGTACTCGAGTCCGGTTCGGGTATTGTCTGCCGGGTACTCGAGTTCAGTTTTCGTACCCGGTCGCAACCCTATCTGTAAGTAGTGAGTTGAGTGCAAGCTGACAAGTGTGATCTGTCTGCAGGTATTTCTACAACACTACAGCCTATCTGAGGGACCATGAACATCCAGGCATTTTAAAAAGTTACCTCTCTGGTAAGCTTCTGGTCGTTGTTGCTTCAAAAAGGTAGAGCAATTTTATGCTACCTGATTGTCAATACCCAATAACAGTAGCTACTTGTGAAGAATTAGTAACAAAGTGGATGCATAATCTTACATTTAATCATTGCTATTACTTTTCACATCAATATTCATTTTTGGTATGCATGTGCAAGACATATGGTGATGTCATTTATGTTTATTCGTGTCAGGCCTGATGACCTTGACCTTCCAACTGTCCTTCAACTCAAGTGTCCTGAATGACTGGATGTCCACTCCACTCGTCTTGGCCGGATTTGTTGACTCTCAGACTCCGACCCCCATCTTCACGGTCAAGCCAGGGGCAGGTAACTGCAGACCATACTGCTGTTATTGCTTTGTTCACTTGTACCGTTAGAATCTTCCACAGGCTGTTGCAACCATTAAAAATATTTATGATAAAACATATATTTTTTACGGAAGCCTTTTAGGGTCATTTGTTTTTTATTTTTTTCGATACTATCTTGAAATTTCAAGATACCAAGTTGAAATTTCAAGACACGGAAGTTGAAATTTCAAGATAGTATCGAAAAAAACAAATGGCCCTAAAAGGCTTCCGTAATTTTTTCATGAAGTTGAATTAAGTTTTTGATTTTCATTTGAAAAAAGTTCAGAAGATAAAAATGTGTCTGACCATATAATTGCTGGTAGGTCTTTGTTGTATGACCACCTACTAACATTGGTAAGATTCTGTCATTTGAACTTGTTGACCTGGCATCAGCATCTGATCATAACATCAACCACAGGTTTTTCTACTTTTGGGTGTAATCGCTCAACTTTGACTGCCATGGCATGACGAAAGTTGGCAGAAGTAAAACCCTGTTCAGCTCCAGAGTTGCAGTTATTCATCAATCAAATTCATGTCCCAGTCATCTTAGGCCCTGCAATTCAGTGTGCAGAGTTGTGTCCCTTAGGAATGCCAGAAACCAATGGTTTCCCGGTTCCAAGTTTTTAGGTTTGTCAGCACACGTAAACGTCAGAACCCTGCATCACTTCGGGCTTTCCTCCTTCATTAGACTGACATGCTGTGATGTAACTGGAATACTGCTCAAAACAGCATTAAACCCAACTCTGCTCGCTCCCTCACTCCCTCACTCCCCCACTCCTTCACTCCCTCACTCACTCCCGTCCTCACTCACTCACTCACTCACTCACTCACTCACTCACTCACTCACTCACTCACTCACTCACTCACTCACTCACTCACTCACTCTTTTTTGGTTTTGCAATTTTCAGGAAAGAAGCCAATTTCAGAGGACAAATCCTCTTTACAGCTGCCTCCCAGGACTGCACGCTCAAAGTCACATGATCTAGATCGCCTTGGCAACTCACAGATTGTTTCCAGTCCACTTGATGGTTTGCGCACTCCACCCAACACACCGTATGACATGCAAGGTTTTACTAGGGCCGACGTGGAAGCAATTAAGAAAATGGCAATGGCATCTTCTCCATACGCTGCATCAGAGTGTTCTACATCAAGTCACATCTCCTGCCCAGATCCCAGCAATGGCAATGCCCCGAGTTTAGATCCCTCTCTCATCGAGGATCAGATTTTGCAAGAAATCATGGCACAAAATGCAGCTGATTTAAGAAACGTAAAAGATGGGACAGTATTGAGGAAATCAGCAGAAAAAGAAGCCTTTGAAAGATCTCCAAAGACTGAAAGAAAACCAAATGCAAATGATGTTCAAAAATCTCCAAAAGTCAAACGAAAAACAGATGAAGATTGTGTAAAGGATGTTGAAAACAGTGTTCCAGCAGCCCCAACTGAAGAACTAATGTCATCAGAAACCACAAACGTTGATCTTAATTCAAAAAGCTGTGATACTCTTGTAGGAGAAAGTGAGGAGCCGTGTGATACGGATCAAGATGGTCAAACTGATGGAGCTGTTTCTGAGCTAACAATTCCTCAACCGGATGTGCTCGATATTTATGCTCAAGCAAATTCCTCCACAGAAAAACTACCTCCATTGAGAGCGAGTTCTGAGTTACCTCCCCTTCACCACTTCACGCAACCGGCGAGTCCAAGCAGACGAAAGAGTGGGCCAGTAGAACCAGTGCTTTCGTCTGTGGTTGCCAGTGAGATTGTTACGGCTCCTGTCACGGAAAGACGGAGGTCATCATTGTCAGCTATTCAGGAACTGATCTCGAAGAATGCTGGACGCTCGGTACCATCGAGCTCTGGTGTTCATGTGTATGATCCTGCAACCGGCGCCAATGTGCCCATGGAACTGGCAGGAAGTCCAAGAACGTATGGGAACAGGCTGAGTGACATGACAGGGTGGTCCTCCGAGTTTGAACACAGTGGGGAATATTTATCAGAAAGGAACTTGGCACGGTTTGAAGCTTCCACAGAAGAAATCTCACGACGTAAAAAAAGTAAGACACTTCGGTAAATAGTTCTACTTTTAGTGATCTTTATTTCTAAATTTGAATTCTGTTGAATGAGGTATTTTTGAGGAGGTGTCGGGGAGGGAAATGTGCGATGTGCATGACCTTGTATCCATTATCATGATTATCATGACTATCCACCATGAAATAACTTGATGTCCACTGGTCATTGATGCTCTTGTTTAAGTTTTACATGTATAATTGGATACAAGAAGATGCAGATGGGCAAGCACTTTAACCTGTTAAAAATTAAAAAAGTAGTCTAACTCAAGTCTAGAATGATTTGGTAAGTCTAGATTGCCTCAGCTGTAGGCTGAAACTGGGGATTGTTCTGGGCTCCATTTTGATTTTTATATTTTATTTTGAAGATGTATATATCATGATATATGTAAATTTTTAAAAGATATCTCTATTACTGGGACAAAATGTCTTTCTATCATGTCTATGTAACCTGTTCTTCATGCATATGACCATGATGACTGTCATAGGCATTGAGGGAAACATCTGATATGCTGTCTTGATCCATACACTCAAAACCCTGTGAAAAAAAGTGCTTATATTTGCATGCATCAGTTTATGTGCTGTAAAATGCATGTCATTAAAGGTTCAATTTCCTAAGACCCCCTGCACAGTTCTTATCCACTGTTGTCAATACAAAGCGAATTTATTTTTTGGGAAAGATGTCCCACGGTAGACAGATGTTGTTTGGACGGGTGATATTTGGATATGTGCAGTGTCAATAAATAAATGCCTAACATAAAACTGCAATCATGGCTATCCTGTACAATGAATATTACCATGATTACTGTATAAAAACACACTTTTGTATGTTTGTTCCCGTCTGTAACCCTCCCTTTGGCTTCATGAACCCAAAACAAAATATGTTGAGAGTAAATTTCTTTCATCATGTTCATCATGTTCATAAACTGGCGCTTGCTATAAAATGTTAAATATATTTAGTGAACAAATATTGAAAACTCTCAACGTCACTGGGCTTATTCAAAGACATTGTGTGTAGAGATGATAAATCCCTGAGAGGAGCTTGTGTACCAACAATGACCCCAGCAACCCTGTTGGTATGCTGCCGTCACAGGACATTGTTTCGACGGTATATATTGCAACAAAATTTCACAAATAACATCATTGGGTATTGTGACATGTTTGTAAACATTGTGGTGCTGAATTCTAAAGGTAGGGGCTAATTGCTTGTGATATCATCAACCAGGGGATGTGTTTATTAACAGACCACCCTGATATAGCTGGAATATGTGGAATTCACTTTTGAAAAATATGAGCTTGTGTCAAAAGCAGGACACTAAGTGCGGTGTATGTAACCTCCTCCTCTTCTTCCATAGTGAACCATGCCATGCCATGCCAATGAAATCCACTGTAGAAAAAGTTTTTGTTGACAGCTGAGAGTTTCCGAACCCTGTTGAAGAACTATGCCCCTTCAAGCTCCCAGTCCCCCGGCCCCTCTCTGGACCAGGTGATACAGAACCTGCCCATCTCCTCCGTGTCAGAGCTCGACTCTGTGGATGGTGAGGAGCCTCCAAGGAGGGTCATGAAGACACAGGTGAGATGTCAGATAGTGGGAGGGGGTCATAAAGACACAGGTGAGATGTCAGATAGTGGGAGGGGGTCATGAAGACACAGGTGAGATGTCAGATAGTGGGAGGGGGTCATGAAGACACAGGTGAGATGTCAGATAGTGGGAGGGGGTCATGAAGACACAGGTGAGATGTCAGATAGTGGGAGGGGGGCATGAAGACACAGGTGAGATGTCAGATAGTGGGAGGGGGTCATGAAGACACAGGTGAGATGTCAGATAGCAGGAGGGGGGCATGAAGACACAGGTGAGATGACAGATAGTGGGAGGGGGTCATGAAGACACAGGTGAGATGTCAGATAGTGGGAGGGGGTCATGAAGACACAGGTGAGATGTCAGATAGTGGGAGGGGGTCATGAAGACACAGGTGAGATGTCAGATAGTGGAAGGGGGTCATGAAGACACAGGTGAGATAACAGATAGTGGGAGGGGGTCATGAAGACACAGGTGAGATGTCAGATAGTGGGAGGGGGTCATGAAGACACAGGTGAGATGTCAGATAGTGGGAGGGGGTCATGAAGACACAGGTGAGATGTCAGATAGTGGGAGGGGGTCATGAAGACACAGGTGAGATGTCAGATAGTGGGAGGGGGTCATGAAGACACAGGTGAGATGTCAGATAGTGGGAGGGGGTCATAAAGACACAGGTGAGATGTCAGACAGTGGTAGGGTCATGAAGACACAGGTGAGATGTCAGATAGTGGGAGGGGGTCATGAAGACACAGGTGAGATGTCAGATAGTGGGAGGGGGTCATGAAGACACAGGTGAGATGTCAGATAGTGGGAGGGTGTCATGAAGACACAGGTGAGATGTCAGATAGTGGGAAGGGGTCATGAAGACACAGGTGAGATGTCAGATAGTGGGAGGGGGTCATGAAGACACAGGTGAGATGTCAGATAGTGGGAGGGGGTCATGAAGACACAGGTGAGATGTCAGATAGCAGGAGGGGTCCTGAAGACACAGGTGAGATGTCAGTAGGAGGGGGTCATGAAGACACAGGTGAGATGTCAGTGGGAGGGGGTATGGGTATGAAGACACAGGTGAGATGTCAGAGGAAGGGGGTCATGAAGACACAGGTGAGATGTCAGAGGAAGGGGGTCATGAAGACACAGGTGAGATGTCAGAGGAAGGGGGTCATGAAGACACAGGTGAGATGTCAGATAGTGGGAGGGGGTCATGAAGACACAAGTGAGATGTCAGATAGTGGGAGGGAGTCATGAAGACACAGGTGAGATGTCAGATAGTGGGAGGGGTCATGAAGACACAGGTGAGATGTCAGATAGTAGGAGGGGTCATAAAGACACAGGTGAGATGTCAGTGGGAGGGGGTCATGAAGACACAGGTTAGATGTCAGATAGTGGGAGGGGTCATGAAGACACAGGTGAGATGTCAGATAGTAGGAGGGGTCATGAAGACACAGGTGAGATGTCAGATAGTGCGAGGGTCATGAAGACACGGGTGAGATGTCAGATAGTGGGAAGGGGTCATGAAGACACAGGTGAGATGTCAGATAGTGGGAGGGGGTCATGAAGACACAGGTGAGATGTCAGATAGTGCGAGGGTCATGAAGACACGGGTGAGATGTCAGATAGTGCGAGGGTCATGAAGACACAGGTGAGATGTCAGATAGTGGGAGGGGGTCATGAAGACACAGGTGAGATGTCAGATAGTGGGAGGGGGTCATGAAGACACAGGTGAGATGTCAGATAGTGGGAGGGGGTCATGAAGATACAGGTGAGATGTCAGATAGTAGGAGGGGTCATAAAGACACAGGTGAGATGTCAGTGGGAGGGGGTCATGAAGACACAGGTTAGATGTCAGATAGTGGGAGGGGTCATGAAGACACAGGTGAGATGTCAGATAGTAGGAGGGGGTCATGAAGACACAGGTGAGATTTCAGATAGTGCGAGGGTCATGAAGAAACGGGTGAGATGTCAGATAGTGGGAGGGGGTCATGAAGACAGGTGAGATGTCAGATGGTGGGAGGGGGTCATGAATACACAGGTGAGATGTCAGATAGTGGGAGGGGTCATGAAGACACAGGTGAGATGTCAGATAGTAGGAGGGGTCATGAAGACACAGGTGAGATGTCAGATAGTGCGAGGGTCATGAAGACACGGGTGAGATGTCAGATAGTGGGAAGGGGTCATGAAGACACAGGTGAGATGTCAGATAGTGGGAGGGGGTCATGAAGACACAGGTGAGATGTCAGATAGTGCGAGGGTCATGAAGACACGGGTGAGATGTCAGATAGTGCGAGGGTCATGAAGACACAGGTGAGATGTCAGATAGTGGGAGGGGGTCATGAAGACACAGGTGAGATGTCAGATAGTGGGAGGGGGTCATGAAGACACAGGTGAGATGTCAGATAGTGGGAGGGGGTCATGAAGATACAGGTGAGATGTCAGATAGTAGGAGGGGTCATAAAGACACAGGTGAGATGTCAGTGGGAGGGGGTCATGAAGACACAGGTTAGATGTCAGATAGTGGGAGGGGTCATGAAGACACAGGTGAGATGTCAGATAGTAGGAGGGGGTCATGAAGACACAGGTGAGATGTCAGATAGTGGGAGGGTCATGAAGACACGGGTGAGATGTCAGATAGTGGGAGGGAGTCATGAAGACACAGGTGAGATGTCAGATAGTGGGAGAGGGTCATGAAGACACAGGTGAGATGTCAGATAGTAGGAGGGGTCATGAAGACACAGGTGAGATGTCAGATAGTAGGAGGGGGTCATGAAGACACAGGTGAGATGTCAGATAGTGCGAGGGTCATGAAGACACGGGTGAGATGTCAGATAGTGGGAGGGGGTCATGAAGACACAGGTGAGATGTCAGTGGGAGGGGGTCATGAAGACACAGGTGAGATGACAGATAGTGGGAGTGGGACATGAAGACACTAGTGACACATCATATACTTGGCGGGAGTGATGAAGACACGGGTGAGATGGAAAATTGTGTATCAGTATATCATGTTGGCATACTCTGGAAGAGGTGAGAGCACAAAGCAATGACACGGTTATCTCCCTTCCACCCTTATGTGTATAAGTTGGCTGCTGAGGAACTTTAAGATGGTGTATGATGGTTTTAACAGAGTTCAGAGTATCCTGTCCTGCTTATATTAGCATCAGCAACAGGTGGTTATGAATGGTGCTTTATCATGTTTGTTATGCCAATGTTAGGTGATCAAGCATGTACACTAAACAGCATATTGTAATATAAGTATATTGTATGAAAAGATTCTTAATCAATAACTCTTTTGGTTTGTGGTTTCAGTGTGATTTGACATAATTGTTTCTCACCACTAAACCACAGAATTACTATAACGTTTTGTTTTCATCACATATCTGTCTCATGGTTGAGTTAAGCTGTGTTTTCCCTGTCATTTGTAAACATGGTGACTGTTGCTTCTATAACCAATGAACTGACACCTTCAGGTTAGCTCTCTAATGCTATTGGGGTTCATGTGGTTCTGAATCGTTATACTAGTGCTTTTTGAGATTGTCTGTATTGATTTTTGATCAAATTTTTAATTGTTTGTAACAATGTTTCAGGGCTTCTTCTTGCCCCTGAAATGTTCATGTATTGTCCTCAAACTGTAGAATGTGATAACTTTGAATTTCAGTCCAGCGAAGATCCCGAGGACCACGATTTTGAAATAGTTGAATGTGGGCGTGTGTCTTTGTTGGACACTGCAGTGAGTGTAGATATTGTGTGGTGTCGGTGTACTACGTTCTTACTAACCTATCAGTTCAATTGTGTGCCCGTTGAAGAGTCCTTCACAGCATGTGGTTTCCTCTTGTGGTTTCTGTCACATTGATGTTTAAGACAATTTCATCAAGATGGGAATGCTTGGTCAGCCTCACCTACATCCTCAGGGGTGTACAGGGTATTTGAGGGGAAAGCTGCATGCCTATTGGCATGTGTAGGTAGAAACTAATGAAAAACATTTGCACCCTCATGGGAAGATCCAGGATTTTAAATAATGGCGGGGGGGGCCATTTGTAACTTCAGTGTGTCCCACACCATTCCTAAATTCCTCAACAGAGAGTTTGATGTCACTGCCCTCAACATGCAGGTTTTGTAGTCTTGCAGTCTCTTCTTTTCGCAAACCCCAACACAAACAAGCAAAAAGTGATATTCATTTTCTCTATATTCAGAATGATATATTTTACAAATTCTTCTGTATAACTTATGGGAATTGCAATGGAACTGAGCTGATCCTTGGCGAAACATATTTACTTAAAAAGAATTAATATAAGGCTCCTCAAAGAAAGATGTTTTAGAACCACCGTGCAAGTTTTGTTCACGACCTCCTACATTTCAATCGTATCATAAAATCTGTTATAAAACTATCAATAGACTGTATTTGCTGTTTTCCCCAAATTTCCCCAAAACCTCCCCTATACAAAAAATTTATGTTGTATGCTTTCCACAGGGTTTTTTGTCCTATACTCCCCCCAGAGCCCCACCTCTGGATCTGCCATTGATTGCTATGATGCCTATTTGATGGATGGATGTATTTCTTTCCTTGAAATGATCAATGATAAATTATTATGTTTGGCGCACATGGAAGACTCTGGGTATTGATGATTTGGAAATATGTGATACATCCTTTCCATTTCTTATTTTCCTATCTGCTAATCCTGGTTGTCTTGCTTCTATGCTTCTTATTGCTGACACTTGCGTATTAGACTGATAGGTTTTGGCGTCATCTTTTGTTTGCTGATACAAAATTGAGCTGTGCATGAAGACTGATTTTACTCCATTTTCTGGCAAAATTCCAATCATATCACATCAGTGGATACCAGTTCTCTTCACATATTGTACCCATGCGTTCATTCAAAGAGTTGCTTGTGTGAATTTGCAGCCAGAACCTGATGCTGTGATGTGGGTCCGAATCCTGGTTCACCCCAATTATGTTTTTTGGGGCCGCCTCCATGGTCTATGATGGTCTCGTGGGAGAGCGGAAGGCCCGGGGTTCAATCTCCCTCCGCGTCATACCTAAAGAGGGGCGGTCGGATAGCCTAGTGGTTAAAGCGTTCGCTCGTCACGCCAAAGACCCGGGTTCGAATCCTGACATGGGTACAATGTGTGAAGCCCATTTGTGGTGTCCCCTGCCGTGATATTGCTGGAATATTGCTAAAAGCGGCGTAAAACCAAACTCACTCACTCACTCATACCTAAAGGCGTAAAACAAATGGTACTTGTTGTTACCCTGCCTGGCACTCGGCATTAAGGGGCTAAAACAAGGACTGGTCGGCTCGTAGTCAGTATATTGTGTCTGAGTGGGGTATTCATGTTAAACTGTGGCATAGTATCTCAGTGAGCTAGCACTATAAATCGGCATCAGTCTGGACTAGTACAAGCAGCCACACACACACATACATGCACGTCACGATATAAGTGCAATAATCTTGGACGCAACGTTAAACCCCATTTCACCTCACCTCACCTCACCTATGTTTCTAGATTTGTCAGCACCATACAATTGTTATTGGGTTTCACTAAAGTGGTAAACGTCTGAGACCTGCTTCAAGTCAGGCCGTCCTCCCACATTAAGCAGACACGTCATGATATACAATGTAACTGGAATACTGTTCAAAGTGGCATTAAAACCATCTCACTTGTTAGAATTTTGGCAATTTTTGTGTGTGCAGTACCAGAAGTATTGTCATTGATAACAGGAGAAAGCTAACTTCTTTAACATGTTTGAGTTTCATTTTCGAAGTTGGTATGAAGAATTGTTGTAAAGAAGTTGTACATCAATATAACTAGCTCCCTTTGTCAAGAGAAAGCTGCATCTCATTTAAGACAGTTATACAAAAATGTTCTTGTTTCTCAAAAACAGTGAATACTGACTAGCATTAGAAACTAATATTTTAAGTCCACTGGTCCTTGTGATGATAACATATAACAAAACCCTTGAAAAGGGCAAATTTCTACTAGTTCTCAGGATACCTTAACGATAGGGCAGTTTGGCAAGGACTTGTGCCAGTTTGTGCTGCTGACTGGGTGGAGCAGGGGTGTGTGCAAAAAGTTGGAATCTGGTCCAAAAATGAAATTTGACTTGAAATAGGTGTTTATTTAATAAATGTATAAAACTGTAAATATTAGTGAAGGGGCAATTTAACATGATTAAGGGTCAGGTAGTTCAGGAAAAGGAGTATTTTGTTTAAAAAGCCTTACATTTGTCCACGTCCTGGGGGTTGTTTTCTCATTTTTGTATCATGTGCATGCAACGGGATGTTATTAGTTTCAGTAGATTAGCCATAGTATGTGTTTTGTTTGTATTCTATGTGTATGGACTGGTTCAGTGTGCGCATATTCCACTCTTGATTGTTCATGTGGCTGTCTATGTCTGCCTTCCTTTCATTATTCTATTTCATGATGAATTGTTTGTTGTAACTGCTGAACTGTGATCCTCTTGCTTTCCTCCCTCAGTGCAGACTTAGAGCTGAGACTGTCTTTACTCCCATACTTTCACATAAACGTTGGATACTCTCATGCTAAGATGTCTTTACTCCCATACTTTCACATAAACGTTGGATACCCTCATGCTAAGATGTCTTTACTCCCATACTTTCACATAAACGTTGGATACCCTCATGCTAAGATGTCTTTACTCCCATACTTTCACATAAACGTTGGATACCCTCATGCTAAGATGTCTTTACTCCCATACTTTCACATAAACGTTTGATACTCTCATGCTAAGATGTCTTTACTCCCATACTTTCACATACACGTTTGATACTCTCATGCTAAGATGTCTTTACTCCCATACTTTCACATAAACGTTTGATACTCTCATGCTAAGATGTCTTTACTCCCATACTTTCACATAAATGTTTGATACTCTCATGCTAAGATGTCTTTACTCCCATACTTTAACATAAACGTTTGATACTCTCATGCTAAGATGTCTTTATGGAAAGGGGAGCTGGAATCTGTCTGCTAGATCCTCACATACTGGCTAGATACTCTGTTTGTCTGCTGGAAACACATATACTGGCTAGACAAACTGTTTGTCTGCTGGATACACACATACTGGCTAGATAATCTGTTTGTCTGCTGGATACACACATACCGGCTAGATAATCTGTTTGTCTGCTAGATACACACATACTGGCTAGACAATCTATTTGTCTGCTAGATACACACATACTAGCTAGACAATCTGTTTGTCTGCTGGATCCTCACATACTGGCTAAAAACTGTTTGTCTGCTAGATACACACATACTGGCTAGACAATCTGTTTGTCTGCTGGATACACACATACTGGCTAGACAATCTGTTTGTCTGCTGGATCCTCACATACTGGCTAGATAAACTGTTTGTCTGCTAGATACACACATACTGGCTAGATAATCTGTTTGTCTGCTGGATCCTCACATACTGGCTAGATAAACTGTTTGTCTGCTGGAGACACACATACTGGCTAGATAATCTGTTTGTCTGCTGGATACACACCTACTGGCTAGATAATCTGTTTGTCTGCTGGATACACACATACTGGCTAGATAATCTGTTTGTCTGCTGGATACACACATACTGGCTAGATAATCTGTCTCCTGGATACACACATACTGGCTAGATAATCTGTTTGTCTGCTGGAGACACACATACTGGCTAGATAATCTGTTTGTCTGCTGGATCCTCACATACTGGCTAGATAAACTGTTTGTCTGCTGGAGACACACATACTGGCTAGATAATCTGTTTGTCTGCTGGATACACACCTACTGGCTAGATAATCTGTTTGTCTGCTGGATACACACATACTGGCTAGATAATCTGTTTGTCTGCTGGATACACACATACTGGCTAGATAATCTGTCTCCTGGATACACACATACTGGCTAGATAATCTGTTTGTCTGCTGGAGACACACATACTGGCTAGATAATCTGTTTGTCTGCTGGATCCTCACATACTAGCTAGATAATCTGTTTGTCTGCTGGAGACACACATACTGGCTAGATAATCTGTTTGTCTGCTAGATACACACATACTGGCTAGATAATCTGTTTGTCTGCTGGATCCTCACATCCTGGCTAGATAATCTGTTTGTCTGCTAGATACACACATACTGGCTAGATAATCTGTTTGTCTGCTAGATACACACATACTGGCTAGACAATCTGTTTGTCTGCTGGATACACACATACTGGCTAGATAATCTGTTTGTCTGCTGGATCCTCACATACTAGCTAGATAATCTGTTTGTCTGCTGGAGACACACATACTGGCTAGATAATCTGTTTGTCTGCTAGATACACACATACTGGCTAGATAATCTGTTTGTCTGCTGGATCCTCACATCCTGGCTAGATAATCTGTTTGTCTGCTAGATACACACATACTGGCTAGATAATCTGTTTGTCTGCTAGATACACACATACTGGCTAGACAATCTGTTTGTCTGCTGGATACACACATACTGGCTAGATAATCTGTTTGTCTGCTGGATCCTCACATACTGGCTAGATAATCTGTTTGTCTGCTAGAGACACACATACTGGCTAGACAATCTGTTTGTCTGCTAGATACACACTGGCTAGACAATCTATTTGTCTCCTGGATACACACATACTGGCTAGATAATCTGTTTGTCTGCTAGATACACACATACTGGCTAGACAATCTGTTTGTCTGCTGGAAACACACATACTGGCTAGACAATCTGTTTGTCTGCTAGATACACACATACTGGCTAGACAATGTGTTTGTCTGCTGGATACACACATACTGGCTAGATAATCTGTTTGTCTGGTAGATACAAATAAAATACTGGCTAGATAATCTGTTTGTCTGCTGGATACACACATACTGGCTAGACAATCTGTTTGTCTGCTAGATACACACATACTGGCTAGACAATCTGTTTGTCTGCTAGATATACACATACTGGCTAGATAATCTGTTTGTCTGCTAGATACACACATACTGGCTAGACAATCTGTCTGCTAGATACACACATACTGGCTAGACAATCTGTTTGTCTGCTAGATACACACATACTGGCTAGATAATCTTTTTGTCTGCTAGATACACACATACTGGCTAGACAATCTGTTTGTCTGCTAGATACACACATACTGGCTAGACAATCTGTTTGTCTGCTAGATACACACATACTGGCTAGATAATCTGTTTGTCTGCTAGATACACACATACTGGCTAGACAATCTGTCTGCTAGATACACACATACTGGCTAGACAATCTGTTTGTCTGCTGGATACACACATACTGGCTAGATAATCTTTTTGTCTGCTAGATACACACATACTGGCTAGACAATCTGTTTGTCTGCTGGAAACACACATACTAGCTAGACAATCTGTTTGTCTGCTGGAAACACACATACTGGCTAGACAATCTGTTTGTCTGCTGGATACACACATACTGGCTAGATAATCTGTTTGTCTGCTAGATACACACATACTGGCTAGATAATCTGTTTGTCTGCTGGAAACACACATACTAGCTAGACAATCTGTTTGTCTGATAGATACACACATACTGGCTAGACAATCTGTTTGTCTACTGGATACACACATACTGGCTAGATAATCTGTTTGTCTGCTGGATACACACATACTGGCTAGATAATCTGTTTGTCTGCTGGATACACACATACTGGCTAGACAATCTGTTTGTCTGCTGGAAACACACATACTGGCTAGATAATCTGTTTGTCTGCTGGATACACACATACTAGCTAGACAATCTGTTTGTCTGCTGGATACACACATACTGGCTAGACAATCTGTTTGTCTGCTGGATACACACATACTGGCTAGATAATCTGTTTGTCTGCTGGATACACACATACTAGCTAGACAATCTGTTTGTCTGCTGTATACACACATACTGGCTAGATAATCTGTTTGTCTGCTGGAGACACACATATATTGGCTAGACAATGAAGACATTTAGGAAATGATACCGATATGTGGTATGTCTGTTTGTTGCCTACTAATTTCATTGCTTTAAAAGCTTGTAATAATAGAGAGTAGATAATACAGAGATTGTAGAAAAGATGCACAGAGGAATATTTTTCAACATTTCTAAATATGTTTTCTAGAATGTGAAAGGTGTATTGTGACCGTAGCTTGAAAGTTGCAGATTCAGCCACAGGCAATATCTTGTTTGTGTTTATCATGTCCATTACGTAGCAGTTGAACAAATGTTTCTATCAGCTATAAAACTACTCATTGACTACTCATTTTCATTTGACAAGACAAGCTACTATTCATGCTATTAGCCTGATTGATCCAAACACTATTGCATGAATTTATCATGCTTCTTTTTGTACTATTTTATATGACGCATGCTGCTTAATTAACCCAAAAGGTTTTTTGTATGTTGCCTTGTTTTAATTATATTTTCAATTTTTAAAATCTTGTTATGCTGGTGGCCGGTTTAGTTATTAAGGTGACAGACGTACAGCAGGTTACTGTGTAATGAATCATGAACAGAACCCAGTTATGAACTGCACCAAAATTCTTGGAAAGTTAAACTTCTCATTCAGCTTTGTCCATTTCACAGTCAACAGCACCGGCAATTTAGCCAGCCCTTTCACACTTGATATTATCAATCTGCCATATAACTGCCACATGTGTTTGACATGAGTACCACGATTATATATACTTAGATCATGCACAAACTATATGTAACACTTGCTAACAAACTGAAGGATGTGTAATGGTATTAGATATTTGAAATATGTACACAGTAAACTATGTTAAGGAACCGCATATCACTAACTGACCGATATAACCGTTAAAACTTATTTTTTAGTCCCACTATTTTTTTTATGGTATATATGCTGTATATATGCTTATATGCTTATAAGAAACTACGGTTATTACGAACTAAAATTAGTGGTCCCTTTGAGTTTGTTGTAACTTTAGTTTACTGTATGTAACAGACTAAAGTATAATGTTTGTGTTGGTATTTCAGAACCCCAACTCCCGTCTGACCCATTTCAAGGAGATTGCCGTGGAGAAGGGGCTGGACTCCCAGAACTACCAGTGTAAAGGATGTTCACGACCAGTCGGACTCAGTAAGTCCATGTCGGCACATCAGTCAGGGACTTGGATTTGCCACGTGGATTTGAACAGTAGAAAACCTAGAAACATAATCATTGTGAATCTAGGATTCAAACTCAGAATCATAGGTTTCTGGCATTCCTGTTTGATTCATGAACTGCTGCATCTCGCACAACTGGGCCACATCTCCTGATAAGAATAACACCTAATTCTCTGATATCAGTGCAAGCTGATGCTTCTTGTAGTTACTGTACACGTGTTGCGTCCATGTATTGCCAGTGTCGTAGGTTGTCTTATATGGGAACATGGTGCTTATATAATTTATATGTGTTATGCTTCTGTCATGTATATTGTCATACTTAATGAAACATAGTGTTTATGTCATGCATGTGGTCATACTTAGGGAACAGGGTGCTTATGTCATGCACATGGTCATGCTTAGGGAACATGGTGCTTATGTCATATATGTCGTGCTTATGTCATGTATGTGCTCATACTTAGGGAACATGGTGCCTATGCCATATATGTCGTGCTTATGTCATGTATGTGCTCACACTTAGGGAACATGGTGCTTATGCCATATATGTCGTGCTTATGTCATGTATGTGCTCACACTTAGGGAACATGGTGCTTATGCCATATATGTCGTGCTTATGTCATATATGTGATCGTACTTAGGGAACATGGTGCTTATGTCATATATGTGATCGTACTTAGGGAACATGATACATATTTTATGTATATGGTCTTATATGGGAACAAGGTGCTAATGTCATACAAATGGTCATGCTTAGGAAACTGAGAAAAGGTATTTTGTTAGCCAGGTTTTTTTTCCAAGACATTTCCAGGCACCTCAAGAAGAATGGTTGATATGTGTTGCAGTTTACGGCAACCCCCGAGTGTGTTCCTTTGATGGTGGCTACTACTGTTTTGAGTGCCATGAGAACGACGAGTACTACATCCCAGCACACATCATCTTCAACTGGGACTTCCGCAAACAGAAAGGTAAAACAAGTCCGAGATTCATCTGCCATGTCTACCTTCAAAGAAAGTGAAAACTGAAACAATACTTCAGTGTCCACACTTTGCCATGACTGAATCCACTATGCTACAAGAGATGACCTGTCTCTCTCGAAGTGCAGTATCCAAGTTGAGCCAGGATAGATGACCTCTGTCTTTCTCTTTGTCGCAGTGTCCCGGTTGAGACAGGATAGATGACCTCTGTGTTTCTCTTTGTTGCAGTGTCCCAGTTGAGCCAGGATAGATGACCTCTGTCTTTCTCTTTGTCGCAGAGTCCCAGTTGAGCCAGGATAGATGACCTCTGTGTTTCTCTTTGTTGCAGTGTCCCAGTTGAGCCAGGATAGATGACCTCTGTGTTTCTCTTTGTCGCAGTGTCCCAGTTGAGCCAGGATAGATGACCTCTGTGTTTCTCTTTGTTGCAGTGTCCCAGTTAAGCCAGGATAGATGACCTCTGTGTTTCTCTTTGTTGCAGTGTCCCAGTTGAGCCAGGATAGATGACCTCTGTGTTTCTCTTTGTCGCAGTGTCCCAGTTGATTCAGGATAGATGCCCTGTCTTTCTCTTTGTCGCAGTGTCCCAGTTGAGCCAGGATAGATGACATCTGTGTTTCTCTTTGTCGCAGTGTCCCAGTTGAGCCAGGATAGATGACCTCTGTCTTTCTCTTTGTCGCAGTGTCCCAGTTGAGCCAGGATAGATGACCTCTGTGTTTCTCTTTGTCGCAGTGTCCCAGTTGAGCCAGGATAGATGACCTCTGTGTTTCTCTTTGTCGCAGTGTCCCAGTTGAGCCAGGATAGATGACCTCTGTGTTTCTCTTTGTCGCAGTGTCCCAGTTGAGCCAGGATAGATGACATCTGTGTTTCTCTTTGTCGCAGTGTCCCAGTTGAGCCAGGATAGATGACATCTGTGTTTCTCTTTGTCGCAGTGTCCGAGTTGAGCCAGGATAGATGACCTCTGTCTTTCTCTTTGTCGCAGTGTCCCGGTTGAGCCAGGATAGATGACCTCTGTGTTTCTCTTTGTCGCAGTGTCCCAGTTGAGCCAGGATAGATGACCTCTGTCTTTCTCTTTGTCGCAGTGTCCCAGTTGAGCCAGGATAGATGACCTCTGTCTTTCTCTTTGTCGCAGTGTCCCAGTTGAGCCAGGATAGATGACCTCTGTGTTTCTCTTTGTTGCAGTGTCCCAGTTGAGCCAGGATAGATGACCTCTGTGTTTCTCTTTGTCCAGGTTGAGCCAGGAGTACATCCAAAATGCTACAATAAATGACTTTCTGTTGCAGTGTCCAAGTTTAGCCAGGAGTACGTCCAACAGATGGAAGACCAGCCGGTCTTGGACCTGGAGGAGCTCAACCCTAAGATCTATGATCACATCCAGGAGATGGAGGACGTCAGAGTAAGGACACCAGAATGTGCCCCAAATCGGAATTGATTTGGGTTTCATTTAATAATGACAGCTACTATTAATTGTTTGGTGTTTGAAAATATTTGTTCATGATTGGATCTTTTTCAGTTGAAAATGTTTAAGTTCAAAATGTTAAACAAGAATGTTAAGGTACAAGGATATTTTCCTCACAAACTTAGTATTAAAATTCTTCTTGCAACAACTTTGGACGGTTGTGTCACTGGTGGGTGCTACTGGTAGGGCATGGCATGCTTACTCTTTTTGGTGAACACCTAGTGTCATCACTGATTTTCAGCGATTCATTCATTTAATTTTCACAGATATGTAGCCTTTTACACTGAATGGAATCTATTTCGTCAGATAATCAAGACTAGTCATTCTGTGACATTTTATAGTTTATAGGATAGTTCAGCGATACTTATATCATTTCATTTTTGGTACAATTATTTTTGTCATAATTTTTAGCATTCATCCCTTTTTTCCAAGATTTGTCAGATTTTCTTTTAAAATTACAAAATGCAATATGTTTTGGGTGTTGCCAGAGGCAGTAGGAAGGTATTTATAACTCTGCTAAGGGGCCGATAATCCCAAACATCTACTGTATATTTCTTATTTAGCTTCTACGTCAGCAGCTGTGTTCTTTGAAGACGTATCTCTTCACCTGTCATCAGTCAGTGGCTGTCGATCTGAGGAAGAAGGTGTGGCCTCGAGAACACCTGTATGACAGCAGACACCTCTGTTCTCTTTCAGTAAGTACTTATGGCAAGGCTGCCTCCGTGGTCTTGTGGTAGAGCGTCCGCCCGGAGAGCGGAAGGTCTGGGGTTCGATCCCCGGCCGCGTCATACCAAAAGACGTTAAAAGATGGTACTTGTTGTTACCCTGTCTGGCACTCGGCATTAAGGGGCTAAAACAAGGACTGGTCGGCTCGGAATCAGTATACTGTGTCTGAGTGGGGTATTCATGTTAAACTGTGGCATGGTATCTCAGTGGGCTAGCACTATAAATCGGCATCAGACTAGTGCAAGCAGCCACACACACACACACACATGCATGCACGTCGCTATATAAGTGCATTAATCTTGGACGCGACGTTAAAACCCATTTCACCTCACCTCACTTATGGCAAGGAATACACAGGTGGTCATATGGTTGTCATGTATGTCTGTCATGAACTAAGTAATCATGGTAATAACATACAGTTATTGCATGTAGTATTTTCACCTCTAATTAAGGTTGGTCAGGTAATGAAAAACACACCAAGTCTACAGGTATAATAAATAGTGTGGCAAGACTGAAAATGAAAACATCAGGGCTCCTTTCTCTTTTATGTTAAAAGACAATTTAACCATGCTAAATAAACCCTTTTTTTTAAATTTTAATGACAGTGCCCTGGTGTCTGTTTTTCTATGCCCATATGTTTAAGAGTCAAGGGGAAGCCACTCAGACTGTTAATTTGTAGACTTTGCTGTAACTTGTCCCGCATTACATATTGCACATTACTCTTACCACTGAATCCCAAACTGGAAATCATTGCTTCTTGTTTGCTAGTTTGTTGTTTAACGCTGCACTCAGCAATATACGACGGCAGTCGTCTGGATCAGACAATTCTGTGATTGACATCATGAACATTGATCTATGCAATTTGGATACAATAACATGCATGAAGCAAGTCATTGATCCTTACCACCCAATCCTGTTAATCGCCTCATCAGCAAGCATAGTTGCCTCTTACGGCAAAGCATGGGTTGCTGAAGACCTATTCTAACTTGGACGGAGTGATGGGGTAGCCGAGTGCTAAATCGTTGGCTCATAATGCCGAAGACCCAGGTTTGATTCCCCACATAGGTGTAATGTTTGAAGCCTATTTCAGGTGTCCCCCTCCATGATATGGCTGGAATGTTGCTAAAAGCGGCGTAAAACTGTACTCACTCACTCACTCTAACCCAACTCATCACGGGTTCTAACTGGAAATGAATGACAATCTCTGCGTGTCTTCAGTAACTCTTTAGCCCGACGTGACCCTCGTGACACCTGGTGTCGGAAGACACGCCCCCTCATGTCATTATTCTCTTCATTGCTAACTAAGCAGGACAGTCAAGGGAAGCAACTCAGACTTTCAATTTGTAAACTATGCTCAAAGCAGTATATCATTTTTTTTGTTGAAAGGGGCACATCAGAGGTGCCAAACATGACAGCTTGTAGTCGTTCAGAAAGTTTTCCTTGTTTTACGCACCCTTCCATTTGGAGGTTTCATGTTTTCAATTAAATATTTGTCATTATTAAAGTACCTTTGGTCCCGAGAGGCACAGTTAGTTTTCCTTTGTGGCCACCATGGCACTGGCGCTAGTCTAAGAAGCAGGTTTGATAGAAAATCCTGTTGGTTGGCTTAACAGAGTTTGGATGCTACTCACCCATCATCCAAGGATCAAGTGATGGAGTTTGAAAATAATAATCTTAAAAATGTTCATTTCAGAGATTAAGTGTCAGTCTATGTGCAGGGAAGCACTTTATTCATTTGGTCCTTATTCAAGAGAACTATAAATCCTGCTGTGTTTTAGACATTCGTACAACCCGTGAAGATCCCGGTAAGAATAGGTCTTTAGCAACCCATGCTTACCATAAAAGGCAACTCTGCTTGTCGTAAGAGGTGACTGATGGGATCGGGCGGTCAGGCTCACTAATTTTGTTTCTTGTGGTAGATCAATGCTCTTGATATCACTGGATTGTTTGGTCCAGACTCTATTATTTCAAGACCACCGTCAAAAAGCTGGAATATTGCTGAATGTGGCGCTAAACAACAAACAAACAAACATTTGTACATATCAGGTCTCCCTCTTCACAGGACTTGCTGCAGATTCCATCCGGCCAGCTGGCAAGGTTTCTGAAGGAGGTTGTAAAGTTTGCCAGTAAGCATGTGTATGACTGTTCCCTGTGCTCCCAGAAAGGATTCATCTGTGAGGTGTGCAACAACCCCAAGGTCATTTACCCCTTTGAAGTGGAATCTACCTACAGGGTGAGTGTTACCTTTGTTCACAATAGACTCAACCATGTAGTGGATAAGAAAGTGTTTGTGTGTACAATTGCCAATACACCTTTATCTGTGGGAGTATCTATCACAGCTGACAGAAGTCACTGAAACTGACATCAAATATTCTCAAAGACTTTTCTTAAAACATAAATAGTTTATAAATGCTTCCTCTGTATAAGTGAGTGTGGTTTTATGAGGCTTTTAGCAAAATTCCAGCAATATCACATCCGGGAACTCAAATGAGCTGCACACTTTTTACCCATTTGGGGAATTGAACCTGAGTCATCTGTGTGACTAGCAAACGCTTTATCCACTCCGCCATCCACCACCCCCTGTATGCAGAACTGTTCATGGCATTACAATCGCATGGTTCAAAGTTCGTATTCAAGGGTGGATATAACATCACATTTGATTTTTATTCAAGTCTGGAATTGTGAGAACTTGTTTACTTACATTATCTGAATGTGACATTGAAGTGTGCAGTGCTCCCAAAATTTATGGCTGAACAGCTTTGAATACAAGGTTTATGATGAGATGTTTACAAAAGTTTCAGTTTCTTTATTCTGTTTAAAAACTTTTTAGTTCCAACAAAATTGTATTTCAAGGCAAGACTGGACCATATCTTATACCCCTGACTTAAAAGGGCGGGGGTATATAGTTATACCAAGGAATTCCATCCATCTGTCTGTCCGTCCGAGCACATTTCTTGTGTGCGAACTTGAAAACTACTGCATAGATTCTTTTCAAACTTAGTGAACCCTTTTTATACCATTAGGAGAGGTGCAGTGTTAAGTTTGATTTCAATACAATGTATTTGGATTTGGAAAAAATACAGCTATTTCTCATTTTTTTACTTAGAATCTTTTTACTTTTGTGCGACCTATAACTTGAGAACAACTTCATGGATTCCTTTCAAATTTAAGAAACACTTTCTACACTAATAGGAGAGGTGCAGTGCAAAGTTTGATCTTTTGTAAGTGTTTTTTCGGAAAAATATTTTTTTCATGGTGTCAACTCAGAAATATGTTGGAGTCGTAGTCTGAAGTATGTTCTACCATACTACCAACACAAATGTAACAACTAAAATGGGGTATGTGTGATCTTACCGTGTACAAAATAAAATACATTTTATTTGCATATACCTTCAAACTTTATTCTTATGACTTTTGATTATCTTAGATCCTGAGACATTGCCACATATTTATCAGTCACCAAACTTCCTGACAGAAATATCTTCCATTAGATACCAAAGACAGTAAGGCAGCTGACTCATCATTTGGATTAGTGCCGGTTCAGAGGCAGGAGAGGAACGTAGAGCCAAATGCTTGTTGTAAGTGCCCTCTATACAGAGCTCCAGATAAGCTTTTGGCGTTGTGGGTCTTTTACCCATGCATTTTAAAATCATTGGGTATCAGTAATTCTCTCTAGGTATTCAAATTTCTGTTACCCACTAGTTTTTACACATGTTGGTATTTAAGTTAAATTTTTAAAAACACTATTCATCTTGTCCCTGCAAACTGGTGTCGTGTTGGTTCGAGAGCTTTATAAGATTCAATAATACCACAATACTTCCACAAGAAAGTGTGATGGCAAATGATCATGATGTAACTGTCATCGTTGAGTTTAGCAAGGTTGACGGAATGCCCGTTTATAATTTCAAAATAAGTTGCTGATTTGCTAATCGAATATGCAGGGTTACTTCACAATATTTTGATGATACGCACAAGTTTTATTTTTGTAGCGTATCTGTAATGTTCGTTGCGTATTTGATACGCCTGGATTTTATTTTACTGCGTATTTCTGCATTTCTGATGCGTATTTTACGCAGATATGCAGCTTATCTGGAGCTCTGTCTATATCATCCTGGATGACCTGGCCGATTGTTTCTCAATGGTCTGCTGCTCATACTATCAACCACTTGGTTCTTGCTGGATGTGCTGTAACAATGCATTCACTCACAATCATTGAAATACCACAGGATCTGGACACATGTTATCCATCAACCAGGAAATCAGATCAGGATAAGTCCTGCCATTTGTGTCCAAGTTATGGAGCTTTTTACACATTTCACAATAAAGTGGCTTTCTTGTTTTCATCGAAAAAAGGTTAAACTTGTACCCCTCTTTGTTCTTGAGGTATTCAATATAAGCAGTGTTATTTTTGTCAAGATACTGTAGATAATTCCCCAACTCCTCAATCGAAGAAAAGTCGTTAGCATCAATGTAGGTATTTCTGGGTGCAAAGTCATCATAATTCCCCAAACCCCGAACCACAGGCACAATGTCATGTTGCAGTAAGTAACAAAACTGGGTGGACATAAAATCCTGGCAAAATATCCTTTCATGGGCAAGACCAAATTTATACCTTTCAAAAAATACATCACAGCCAATGTAGCATCCAAGGTCAATTTCCCTTCCACACTGTCCCAGTATGTCAACATCAACAAATGTTTTGAGACGCTTCACAAACTCAACACGTTTTGAAGTCCCTCCACACAGGTGATGGACAGACAGTGCCTTCTTGTCCTTCAAGGCCATGATCTTTCCATAGTCCTTTTCAGCATCTGCATCCATTTTTTCAGTGCTCATCGAGGATAAAATGAGATCCGAATCTCTGCGATATGTTATTGTCCAGTTGAAAATGCTTCTCCATGAGTTTTTTCCCCAAAGAGATTGGTGAATGTTAGATGGTGGATGAATGGAAAAGAAAGCCCAGATCTGATTGGCTGAAGGCCGTGGAGGTGGATGTTGGGTTATGTGGTCAGTAGAGAATAACACAAGGTCAAGGTCAGTAATACTATTGTGAACGGAGGTTTCTTTAACTGTACAGCAGCTGTACTCACAGCCTTCAAACATTTCCTGTCCTGGATAGTCGGAGAGCCAGTCTGGCTTTTTGAACCAAGCAATCTGCTTCAAGTCAGAGGATGTACATGAACTGGAAGAAGATTCTTTGTCAGTCTGAATTTGTTCAGCAGGTGTTTGGCTACTTTCTTCCACTGCCTCTGATTGTCTGCCTGTTGTTTCAAGACTTTCTTCCACTTTCTCTGATTGTCCTCCTGTTGTTTCAAGACTTTCTTCCACTGCCTCTGATTGTCCTCCTGTTGTTTCAAGACTTTCTTCCACTGCCTCTGATTGTTTGCCTGTTGTTTCAAGACTTTCTTCCACTGCCTCTGATTGTCCTCCTGTTGTTTCAAGACTTTCTTCCACTTTCTCTGATTGTCCTCCTGTTGTTTCAAGACTTTCTTCCACTTTCTCTGATTGTCCTCCTGTTGTTTCAAGACTTTCTTCCACTGCCTCTGATTGTCTGCCTGTTGTTTCAAGACTTTCTTCCACTCCCCTTGATTGTCCTGTTGTTTCAAGACTTTCTTCCACTTTCTCTGATTGTCCTCCTGTTGTTTCAAGACTTTCTTCCACTGCCTCTGATTGTCTGCCTGTTGTTTCAAGACTTTCTTCCACTCCCCTTGATTGTCCTGTTGTTTCAAGACTTTCTTCCACTGCCTCTGATTGTCCTCCTGTTGTTTCAAGACTTTCTTCCACTTTCTCTGATTGTCCTCCTGTTGTTTCAAGACTTTCTTCCACTGTCTCTGATTGTCCTGTTGTTTCCATACTTGCTTTCACAGTGATATCTTGTGATTGTGTTGTGGCAATGGTCATTGTTTGTGTCCCCATGCTTTGTCTAAGGACAGGCAGTGTCAGGAACAGGAGGAACAAGAACAACACTCCTCCCAGCACTGTCTGACAAGAGGAACAGTTCTTGCCCAATCTGAAATTTAATCATAAGAATTCAGCATGTTAATTTGAAGTAGCGACATCTTTCATGACAGAAACGCTCAGGCAGATGCTGGCACAGATGGTACAGATACATGTCAACTTGTGTTGTTAGATTCAAACAAAGCCTTAACATCCTTAAGTAATTCGGTCGAAAGTTTATGTCCTCTCTGCATGATATCAAAAGATGTTAAAAGATGGTACTTGTTGTTACTGTGCCTGGCGTTCAGCATTATGGGGATAAAACCAGGACTGGTCAGCTCGGAGTCAGTATAATGTGTCTGAGTGGGGTATCCATGTTGAAACTGTGGCATGGTATCTCCAGGCTAGCACTATAAAACCAGCATTGGACATGACCACACACACACACACACACACACACACACACACACACACACACACACACACACACACACACACACACACACACACACACACACACACAAACACACACACACACACACACACACACACACACACACACACGCAGTGCATGTTGCAATGTGAATTAAAAAGACATTCAACCCCATTTTACCTCTCATCACCTGTTTATGTGCTTCTTTGACTGTGGTTTTCTGCTCGCAGTGAGCTGACATGGTGTAGTATAACTGAGGCACTTTTGAAAGTGGTATTACACCCAAACAACCTTTGGCGCAAAACCGATAACAGCTCATTGACATTTAGGGTGACGATCAAACAGTCATACGTTGGCCAGCAGTGGGACAGATCAGTATAACGTGCTACTCCAACCACAAGAGACAAGTCTGAATCTGGTTAAATGTATTTTTATCTTCATTGTCTGGTTTCTTAAGTTAATAATTGACCTTATTTGAGATTAAAAATTGAGCACAACCTGGGCATTTGACATTCTGGGATTAATATTTTTAAAATGAGAAAATTTTGTTTCCTTGGAGCAAAAATAAAGTCAACATTTAATTTTTGCACAAATGTCTTCAAATGTGTAGTTTCATTATCATAGAAAACATGAACCATTTCCACTTGTGGATAGAAAAAAGAAGTATTATGTAATCACTAAATATACCCAGCATCAGTATATGCATTACTTATAATTGTTCTCCAAACTTATTCTCACTGATTAAAAGTATTCAAGAAATAATGTCCAGAGCCCGAGCTGTTCCACAAAGCAATCTTAGGGCTAAGATGATGGTAGTTCACATACCTTAACATAGGCTTACGATAATCTCAACACTAAGATCGCTTTGTGGAACAAGACCTGCTGGTATATTGCTGGCAGATACTGATAATAAGATGTATTATGTTAGCCACTTGTTATTGGAATAGGCATGAGTACACAAAAAACAAATAACTCACCAATTCTGCATGGCGGCTCCTCTAATAATTATTGCTTGTCCACTTTTTTTCAAAGTAAGTTCACACACAAGAAAACAAACACAAATATTTTTACAGTCAAATTTCCTTCAAACTTTGCTTTTTCACAACTTTTCCTGTTACTGAAAGGTATATACCTGTATACTGGTAATGTGATATAAAGTCTTACCTGATCACAGAGCGTGTTCCCATGATGGCTGGTCCAGGAGAGTGGGATGCAGGAGGGGCTCGTGACAGATGCTGCTGGTGGTGGTGGCAGATGGTGCAGCATCTTGGTATTAACACAGACTTGTCATCTCAGTCTGGCTATCTGGAGTATCTCGAAGCCTAGAGTGTCAAATCCAATATTGTGCTTCTGATTACCAGACTCAAATGTGGTTATTTATACAATTTATTCCGAGACTTTCCTCAGCCTCTACATTTGTATGTCCAGGGATTCTCCCAAACACAGTTTGTGGGTTGTACACATTCAATGGGGGTGTTTAAGTGAAAACTGTACCAACAAATAAAACGAAACGTGTGCATGATGCCTTATGCTTATTATTATATGGTGATTTCTTGTTTGAATGGAAACTTGAATAAGGGAAGAAATTCTCAGGACTGTTCAGACATTGTATTTCTTATAAAGCCACGAAGATACGGGCTACAATAGGTCTTCAGGCACCTATGCTTGCTGCGAAAGGCATCTTTGCTTGTCATAAGAGGCGACTAACAGGATTGGGTGGTCAGGCTTGCTGACTTGGTTGATGCATGTCATCGTATCCCAATTGCGTGGATTGATGCTCATGTTATCAATCACTGGATTTTCTGGTCCGGATTCGATTAACAGACCACTGTCATATATCTGGAATATTGCTGAGCGTGGCAAACAACAAAGAAACAAAATGTATTTCTTATCAGAACAGAAATCAAATAAATCTTACACATGCTTAAATTAGGCTCAGGCACCGCCCGCATCATTAAAAAGTTTGCCACATGTTTCGTTTTTATTTCCATTTAAAAATTATTATTTTTTAAATCTTTAGATATTCCAAGTCCAACGGTAGTCAAATAGTGTATTCCAGTATTTTACTCATAAAGGAATACATTTATGTTGGGAGGCCCTTTCCCAGGTTCATTGTACACAATTGTTTATTGATTACACAACTGTTTATTGGTTACAAACTAGTTTGAACAACAACAAAAAATGACACCGCCCGCCTGCACTATATTTTCAAAAACATTGCTTGAGAATTCTTTTATTTTTTTAAGCATTAATTAAGTTCCAGTGTATCATTTCGTACTTTCAATACGACTCGCAGAAGACAGTGTTTGTTTCAGTTCTTCAAACCCATCACAGTGTGACATATGTTTAGTTCAGTCTGAATATATTGGGATAATTGTTAAAACCAGAAGTGTTTCAGCTGATACTTTTATTTCATTTACATGGAATTGAATTATTTATGCTTACCTGGCATGCCAAGTCATTGCAATCTCCGGTTATTGGAAGTGGATTCATCTGTTACAGGCAGAAACCTACTGTTCACAAATAGCAGTGTTCTTTATGACATTTCTTAATTTTTTGACAGTACATGTATAACAGTATTTCACATGAAGTAGACCTGTGAAGATCCGGGGAAGAGACCTGTGAAGATCCGGGGTAGAATAGGTCTTCAGCAACCCATGCTTGCCGTAAAAGGCGACTATGTTTGTCGTAAAAGGCGACTAACGGGATCGGGTGGTCAGGCTCGCTGACTTGGTTGATGCATGTCATCGATCCCAATTGCGTGGATTGATGTTCATGATGTAAATCACTGGATTGTCTGGTCCAGACTCGATTATTTACAGACCGCCGTCATATAGCTGGAATATTGCTGAGTGCGGCGTAAAACAACAAACCAAACCAAAACCAAACCAAACCACATGAAGTAAGTTTGTAGCAGACAACTGTGTCTGTCTGTCTGTTCATTAACTAACCACTCTGTAAAGATCCCGGTGAGTATTGGTCTTCACCCATGCTTGTCATAAGAGGCGACTAACAGCATTTCGTGGTTAGGCTCGATGACTTGGTTGATGCATGTCATTGTATCCCAAATGCGTATATCGATGCTCATGACATCAATCACTGGATTGTCTGGTCCAGACCTGATTATTTACAAACCGGCATTGCATATAGGGGTGTAACGATACGGCAATACAGAATTGCATTGCGATATGAGGCCCACAATACAATATATCGATATACAACCCCTGTATTGTGATACATACGATACATTACATTACAAGTTATATTGGTGTAAGACACATGAATAATAACAGAAACTGTTCAACCAACAACGTACGCAGATTCTCCAGTATTTCATGGTTGGACATAAATACCATAACATTCAAAGAACCCTCCAGCAGATATGTCTGCCCTACAATATCCCATCTTTGATCTTTGAAATTTAATAACTAATAATTCAGGGTTGTGACTCACCAGCAAAAAGAGAGAATATCTACTTGTGAAATGAAAGTACGGCATTGGGACACAAAATGTATCGCACCCATAGTATTGGGATACGAATCGTATCGCAACCCCACCATATTGTTACAACTCTAGTCACATAGATGGAATATTGCTGTGGGCGGAGTTGAACAACATGCAAACAAAATCGTTCATCATCCGTCTGTCACTCCTGCCATTCAATTATTTAAATCATTCTCCAAAGTCGAGAAAATGATGGTTGGAAAATGATCACAGACTTCATGCTCCAAATGTCTCATCTCATCTTGTTTTCATTTAGATGTCACCACAAGAGATTCGTCAAGATGCGATGAAATGGTACAGAGTTTGATCATCTCCACACTGACCATGTGCTTTTATATCCCACTACTTAACCTGCTAGAGTATATATCCCTGGGGTATTCCTCTAAAAAAACACTTGTTCCCCAAGAGATGTGTTCCACTTCGGGATTAAAAATTATCTTGCCAGATGAAAGCAAGGATAACTGCTATGTATATGCTATGTTTGTCTTGACATAATGGGTGGCCCAGTCATCTAAGGCGCCGCTATTTGCTGTGCACAGTTGCGTTCCTTGGGCTCGCCAGAAACCTGTGCCTGTGGGTTCGAATCCCGTTTGCCCTGATTATATTTTTTGGTTTGTCAGCACCAGACACATTCATTTCACCAAACTGGTAAAAGTCTGAGACCTGCATCACTTCGGGCTTTCCTCCCACATGAAGGTGACAAGCCGTGATATAACTGGAATACTGTTCAATGCGGCGTTAAACCCAACTCACTCACTCTACACTGACCACAGATGTTTGAATATAGCAACAGGTTGATTTGCTGTTTGGTTTGACCACACTCCTGTGGGGACCTCGGTTCGAGTAGCACCCAGCAACCTGTGCTTGTTGTATGAGACAACTTGATGCTTCGGGTGGTCAGGTTCAGGTTCAGTGACTTGGTTGATTTCATGTCATCGTGACCCAACACAGTGGGCTGTTCCTCAGAATATCAACCACTAATTTGTAAAGTTGAGGCTTGATTATTTCCAGACCGCTGTCATTCAGCTTGACAAACAAAACAAGCATGAAATGTAGGACAAGGGTGGACGCATGGAACTTGACAGAAATGTGATTCATGGTTGCTGTGGCAGTCATAATGAATAAAATGTGTGAAGATCCAGGTTAGAATAGGTCTTCAGCAACCCATGCTTGCCATAAAAGGCGACTATGCTTGTCGTAAGAGGTGACAAATAGGATCAGGTGGTCAGGCTCGCTGACTTGGTTGACGCATGTCATCGTATCCCAATTGCATAGATTGATGCTCATGATGTCAATCACTGTATTGTTTAGTCCAGATTATTTACAGACCACTAGCATTCAGCTGGAATATTGCTGAGTGCGGTGTTAAACAACAAATAAATAAAACAAACAAACATCATGAAAAGGTTAGTAATATGTCCCATATATCAGCTGGTTATTTATGTATAGTGAGTGATTTGAATTATGATATTTAAAATTATGAAGACAAAATTTGTCATGATTTCCATACCCTAACCTACACATTGATCATGAATAAATTTTGAAAACTGAGTGGAAGGTGAAAACCAGGTACATGTAATGTCATGAATAATCCTCACAGGATTTTGATGAGCTTCTTAACATGGCTCCCATAGTAGCCACATTGTATATCAGTCTGACGTCTTTAGTTGTCAGTGACCACTTACACACAGTGAGAAATAGAAATAAACAGTACATTCACTCTCCTGCTAACATTATCATGTATTCATTTTATCCACCCACCCATCCACAATACCATCCCACCTACCCCAGGCCATGACTGTATCAACTGCTTTGTGTTCTTTCCATATATATATATATTATATATCTACTTTTACCTGTCTACCACATTACAAATAATGATGTCATTTCAACAGGCAAAGATTTGTGTTTGCTTTTACTCTACCTGCTACATAAGGGAGAACATAGAGATTGGCAGCATGGAAATCCCCTCTGTCCTTTCGGTACAAAATAAGTCTTTTTTCATGTTTTAGCCTCAGACTTTTGAATTTATACTTAAACAGCTGTTAAAAGGTGTTTTCAAATGTCATTTTGAACATGTAGAAAAGTATGTGGTATATTTAGTAGGAAATAATTAATGTCCTTATTTTCATCCTTAACAGTAAAGTGGACCTGTGAAGATCCGGGGTAGAATAGGTCTTCAGCAACCCATGCTTGCCGTAAAAGGAGAATATGCTTGTCGTAAAAGGTTGATGCATGTCATCGATCCCAATTGCGTGGATCGATGCTCAGGATATTAATCACTGGACTGTCTGGTCAAGACTCGATTATTTACAGACTGCCGTCATATAGCTGGAATACTGTTGAGTGCGGCATTAAACAATCAACCAACCAACCAACTTAACAGTAAAGTAACATTTAATACTCATTGTTGAACATTTTGAGTTTTCCTTTTTCATCTTTTATGAACAATGATTACGACTGATTAATATACATATCCAGATATTCGTGCTTGTCAAAACTCCTATATGCACACAAGATCTTTCAACTTTCAACAGCTCTTCTGACAGGTGTAATGAAAAGTTAATGTCCATTGTAGTCATAGGCGACGCACAACAGTAGTATTTGTGGTGTCATAGTGCCTATGATGTAACAGTGACAATAGAGGGAGAAGTAAAACATAGTCATATTCGACGCCAACCTGATGTTTTTAACATAAAGCCTATGACATCATAGTAAGTTTTATAGTCGGAGGCATAAATACATTTTGTTGTGGGTGCATAAATCACATTGAGCTACATCTGCACATGCGGACATTTTGAAATTTATACTTTTGAATTAAGCTTAGGTTTCAAAAGTCTGATAGACATCTGTTCTTTTTCCATTTGTAAATGTTTGTCATTGTTAAACAATTTATTAAATGGAAAGACAGTAATATATAACATCAAATTGTATGTCCCTCAAGCATACCACATGGTGAATGGCCAATGTCCTTGAGTCTACAGCATTTCATTTTCTCTGAAAGCCGGGACTTTATGTGGATTTGATCCACAAAGTGTTGTTTTAAACCAGAAGTGAGCTTCCATGAGTGTTCTTTTTGGAGCCACATATATTTATAGTTTGATATAAAATAATTTTGCAACAATATAAATAAATCTGGTGAGCTGCAGTGCCTCATATTTCTGTTTTTATCCTTGCATCTTAGCATACTGGTAAAAGCCCATGACCTGAAACTGTTCTGGATTCAGTTTGTTTTTAGTCAATGCTTTGTGTCATCTTGTTTATCATCATGATCATCATCCATCTTGGCCATTTTGTGTTCCGATATCACAATGTCTTTGTCACATTTGTCCAGCCAGGTAGCCATATCTGGGATCATGTTTCCATACTTGTCCAAGTTGTGCAGCTTCTTGCACAGTTGACAGTAGGATGCTTTCTTCGTCTTTATGGAGAAACGATGAAACGTGTACCCTTCCTTGTTCTTCAGATATTGCAGGTAGGCAGTGTCATTAGACTCAAGGTAATTCAGATGGTCCCCAAGTTCTTCCACTGAGTTGAACTCTGCTGCATCGATGTAGGTTCCTGGAGGAAAGAGTTGACTATGATTGCCAGCTCCACGCACTACGGGCACAATATCATGCATCAGACCACTGCCTGTCTTCTCAGAGATGTAATCAAGACAAAAGGAATTCTCAAAAGCAATTAAAAATTTGTACCTTTCATACATGGCCTCGCAATCCTGGCAGCGTAGAGTTCCACACTTGCCAAATATATCCACACTGTATGTCTTGTTCAACATGCGGATGTACTCGTCTCTCCGAGAAACTGCATTACAGTGAGACACAGTCCACATAGCCGTCTTTGTTTTCTTAGCCAGAATTGAATCATATTGTTTCCTGTGTGGTTCCATGTCCTTCTCAATGGTGATGTAAGGCAGGACAATGTCTGAGTCATGTCTGTAAGTCATCGTCCAGTTGAACAGACCCTTCCAGCTGTCTCTTGTCCATGCTGACCTGGAGGTGTAGGGTGGTGGTTCTATGCTTAGGAAGATCCAAATTTGATCTTGTTTTGGCCTTATTGGAGGTTTGTCGGCCCTGAGGAGGTAAGGATTGAAAAAGAGGGCATCAAGGTGTTCGATGTTCTTCTTGAAGGCCACAGTTGTGTTTATGCTGCAACATGAGTACTCACATCCCTGAAACATCTCTTGACCAGGGTAATCCTTCAACCATACAGTCAAGTCGTAAAATCCTATATGTTTGATAGTAGTTGTACTGCATGTGTCAATACCATGAACATCATCTCCCTTTGGAATAATTGGTAAGGAATCATTCCTGTGGTGGAAATTATTGTTTTCAGACTTTTTCTGTGATTGTGAATCAGAGGTCAAGTTTGGTTCTTGAGGAGAGAGATCAGGAAATGATGCCCGTTTGGTGTGTTGTTCAGTGTCAACCGTTTGGTTGGGTGACACTAAGTTTGATGTTTGGTCCTGTGGAAATAGGTCAGGCTTGTTGGTAGATGCAGTCAAGTCAGACCTGTCGGTAGAATGCTTCCCAGTTTTGTCTGATACAATTCCATCAAGGTTTTGTTGAGATTCATGTTGGGGTTGAGATTGTCCATCATTCTGAAAAAATGGCTTTAATGTGGCTACTGGATTATATGCTACTTGCTTTGAAAGAGTCCTTGGGTGTACTCCTGCTGCTGAATCCTGAATGGTATGTTTGATATCTGTATTTTTATCTTGGAACAAACCTGTCCTGTACATTAGGAAGTTTGTTGTCAAGCATGTCGCCACAAGGATCCCGAGCGTGGGGACGAAGTGTCTCAGCATCCTCAAGCAGTATCTAAAAAGACATGCATACCTGTATAAAGTAGAATTGCATTGCTGTAGAAGTTCACAACTATACAGCCACAGTGAACTCCATCTTGAGAATCGGAATGAACAGGCTTTTGTGTGAATGAAGGAATCAGCATTTCTTGCTTTCTTTGGTCAATTTGAGATAATGTTGTGTCATATAGTAAATCATTTGCATGACAAGTGTCCCTTCTGTATTGTGGGTGAGACTGACCTACATTTAGTTGAGTATTCTTAAACATACAAGAAAAACAAATAAATTGTAATGTTTTTAGTATTATTCTTTTTCGAATGCCTGCTTTTTTGTAAATTGACTTTCATTTCAAGCATTTAAAAATTAAGTCCCCAAATCTGAAAAAAATAATAATTTGAAAATGATGCTGTGTTAGAAGGATGCCAAATTGTTCACTTTCAAGCCATGTGCTTTTATGCAGTGTTGTAAGTGTAGAAAACAGGGCTTACCTTGTCCAGGTTGTTTGTGTTGTGGTTGTACAGTGGCTCAGGATCTCCCTGTTTGTGTGGAATGACCACAACAGCTGGATGTAATCAGGCCATCTGCTCACCAGTAAGTGGACAGTGGGCAATTAACTCAGCAAAAGGTGGCTGGGATCAGAAATGTCTTCTTCACCTTGATCTTGATGAAGAAATTATGATGATTAAGCAACAGATGGATTTAAATGTACTTACTTATTGTTTGGAATCTATGTCGACGTATGGCAGGCCTAGATCTAAGATGGCTTCATAAAGCTCATTATGCAGATCCATGCTCATGATATCAATCACTGGATTGGTCCAGACTCGATTATTTACAGACTGCCGTCACATAGCTGGAATATTGCTGAGTGTGGCGTTGAGCAACAAACAAACAAACAAAGTACTCATAAATGCCCAGATCATGTTATTACAGAGTTGTCTATAATGATCAGTATATATGATGACACTTAAGGGTTTTTTTAAAATAAAAATTATTTTTTGCCCCGTTATCTCTTGCCAGCATTAAATTTTCATCTTGTGAAAAAAATACAAAATAACATGACAAGTTTATGATGAAGTGTGAATATCACCGGTGTGAGTAAGTTTGGTTTAACGTTTTTATCAACATTCCAGCATTACATGAAGGGTGACTACAGAAATGAATGTCACAGATTATTTATGTCACAGGTTCATTTAAACAAGGTTTAGTATTCTTCCAGTTATATCTTTGACTGATGCAGTCATTGTGACCATGTCTGGTGGTGAAACAGTTAAAATGCTGAGACTGGTGGAAATCTAGATACATTTACTAAGTCACAAGTGAGTGAGTTGGATTTTACGCCGCTTTTAGCAATATTCCAGCAATATCGGCAGGGGACACCAGAAATAGGCTTCATACATTGTACCCATGTGGGGAATTGAACCCAGGCCTTCATTTTGACAAGCAAACGCTTTTACCACTAGGCTACCCCACGACCCCTTGTAAGTAGTACTGTCCATGGCCTGACAAAGAGCTGAAATCACACACTCCGTAATCGGCTTCCAATAGAAACCTATTTGTGGGGGTGGCTTAAAGCTACCGATACAGCATTGACAGCTGTTTTCATTGGCTGATATGTTTGCTGCATTTATCTGTCTTGTGATTCTTAGCTGTTATACATGAACAGTTCCGGATATTTCTACTAATCCAACAGAAATAACAGCATTGCGTACATTGTTGAATGTGTGAAACTACCCTTGACCATGGCTTTGTGAATAATTAAAGTATTTAACAATTGGTAACTATTGTTTCATTACTAACTTCCTGATTGTGTAATAAAACACGAGCTGCCCTTGACCCTATTCCACACAACAGATGGCTGTCAGGCATTAATCCGCAGAGTTAACAAGTGGAGGCATCTTCAGTGTTGTTACTGAGGTGACATAAGTTATGGATGGACACAGTAATCAAATGGATGAAAAATCTGAGGCAGAAGCAGGCAGACTGGGCATCAGCCCAACTGTCATGAGTGTTGAAATTTCGCTGCGCGTCAAACACTATGAACATGTTTTAGCCCCAGAAAGGGGAATCCCCTCAGTGGCGAAATTTTCGTTTGGGGGATGATTTCGCATGTCGTTTTTCATCTTGTTTTAAGCTATTTCCATTTTTCAAATTCAATTTTGGTCAGTTTTTGGGATTCGGTATGCCCTAAAGTATCAAAATCTGCAAAGTTGCTATGTTGACTTTCCTTGTCCTTTAAGACTTTCTCCATAAATGATATACAATTCATCCAGAACAGTTATCAAATGTTTTGGTGCCAGAAAGCCAGATAGCTTTCTTCTTTTTGTTCAATCCCAAGACTCCAGTTTGCCACAAAATCTATGATTTGAACTTATGATTCATGAACACATTTATATAGGAAACTTGTATCAAAGGTCAAATTTTGTGTTTCAGTGTATGTTGTGCAAAGCAGTGTACCACAAGACCTGTATGACGGAGAACCTGCCCTGCCCCAAGTGTTTGCGCTGGAGACTCCGCAAGTCTAGCTTCGGGGCAAGTCCAGCTGACTCCGAGGACTACGCCTTTACCCCACCTTGACCTGATCCACATGGCCTTCACACAGGAGTGTCTTCACCTGTCCTCCGACCCAAGCATAGTTTTAGTGTCAGTCAGTGCTATATCTTCACCCTCGTCATTTAAGGTTGTATGCAAGTGTCATTATTACAGGGGAATGACTGGGAAACCTTCAGGGAATATAGGCATGTAGAGAACAGACCCTGCCTTACAGAGGATGATGTTTGTGGTGTAGTGCAGAAACCCATTGAGCTTCCTCGTTTTGTTGTCTAGTTGACCAGCTACTTCGTACCGATCATGCTTTGTGTGTGGGTATCCTGAACAGGTGTCTGTATTTTCTGCATGTGAAATCACTGCCTGTGAGTTCTAGCCCAGAGGTGCTTCTTTTGAGTCCTTAAGCATAAGTACTCCAAAGATTATGATTGAACTTTTAATTTTCAAACCAGTGACATGGTATTTATGTTTGTTCAAAACCAGTAACTTTAACACAGCTTTCATTGTCTGTAGGCAAACCATTCTTTAATGTGATGAAGTAACCGGGCATTGTGATGTTGGTTTGTTCTTTGCCAACAACTGCTGTATGGAATATTTTGTACGTCAACTATAGTCTGGAAGGTAATTTAAGGTACTGACGTTTACTCCAATATCTGAAAAACTATCGAACCTACTCCAGTCAAAGTTGGTATGAGATTATTAAACAGTCATACATAACTGGATATTACATTTAAAGACAATCGGTGCATGAATAAAAAATCTGTCTATTTAGCTATCACTATATTTCATCAACAACCAGACCTGTTCGTCACGGGTGGAGCGAGCATTCATTGAAACAGCCATCGTCATTATGCTACCCCTGCGTCACAGGGCCATATGACACAGTTGAACCAATCAACTCAACTCAGAAGGGTGCACGGGAATCACGCACGTTGAGATGCCCAACGCTTACACCATATTCGTGCGTGCGTGATTCCCGTGCTCCCTTCCGAGTTGAGTTGATTGGTTCAACTGTGTCATATGGCCCTGTGACGCAGGGGTAGCATAATGCCGATGGCTGTTTCAATGAATGCTCGTTCCACCCGTGACGAACAGGTCTGGTTGTTGATGAAATATAGTGATAGCTAAATAGACAGATTTTTTATTCATGCACCGATTGTCTTTAAATGTAATATCCAGTTATGTATGACTGTTTAATAATCTCATACCAACTTTGACTGGAGTAGGTCCGATAGTTTTTCAGATATTGGAGTAAACGTCGGTGGGATTGGTCTTTGGACTGTATCCAATTTTGCTGACACCTCCAATATTTTATGTAAGATTTTTTCATGGCCTCCCTTTACTACATGACCAGTCCCTAACCATGGGAGTAGCGGTCATGGATCCTAGTTGATATTTCTCATACTGACTCTGCTTCAAAGAAATGGCATCAGAACAGGCACATTTGTCATCAACTTGGGGCCAGTGGTATATGAATAGCTGCCATAGATTTGTGTGGCAGTGAGTTTGTCAGTATTGATGGTACAGTTATCGATAATAAAACTAGATGTATTGAATACTTTCTTCAAGATCATTTGTAAATTTTGTTCACAGGGATATGTAAGAATGGTGCCATTAATACTCCCCATTAACACTGCCATATGCACTCTAAAACAAATGTGATTTTACCATAATGCACAGTTTACAGGTACATACTCATAGCCTGGATAGGAAATCTTTTCTTGTATCTGCCAAATTCCAAATAGATTTAAATGTTGGAAAGAAGTGTCCAAAAGAAATCAAAATTATAATGTGTCACTCAGTTCCTTGTTTTGTCGATCAGTACAATCAATTCTCTTTATATACTGCTAGAAACATACACAAAGCATGTCCTGTTATAAAAAGTTAGATTCAATAGTTCATACTGGAAGTATGAGTAACCATAGAAGCACTTAAGATTTCACAAAAAAACATTTGTTTTGGTCACAGTTTTGTTATATATTTTTCGTAAAAATGTGCTTCTTTTATTTCATTTAATAACTAACTGATCTTCAACTATATGGACAATTTGTCTGTTGATGTCTTAAGGGAAAGTGTTCGCAAGAGACTGGTGCTTCATAAAGATGTACAGAAACGGTTTGTTAACCCCATTGTTTCATAGAAGCTGAGATAGTCTTTGTATCACTGTTGCCTTGGGAAAACTGATAACATCTTTATTGAGAATCATTTCACTCTGTTATTTCTTTTATAGCTTTTAAGCCCTTTGTCCTGCTATGGTATTGTGGGGATATTTTATTCAAGGAAATAGGAGGTCCATGGACTGGATGCCTATTATTTATTTATTACGTACTGACATATTTTATCCTATTGTTGGTCAGCTAACACTTATGTGATATCCTGGATTCAGAACAAAGTTGGTGTTATCTGTATATCAATTGACATTGAGCAAATTTCAAGAAATGTTTTAATTTCTTTATTTTCTTGTTATTAATTTGGCCATAAAGTAACCATGCATTTTCAAAAGTACATACATATATGTATATATATATCAAATATGACTTTTAACATCATTCACAAAATATTGAATTGACTTCTTTTATTTTCTGTTTGTGCACCTGTGAAATGCGCAATAATAAATACATGATATTATATATAGTACTCATCCATCTACAGCTGATCTTTGACACACCCGAGTTTAATTCAGTGAGGTTCCACTGAGTGTTGAGATGTGATGACACCTCTCGTAGTTCATCAGCAGCTGGCGTCACAGCTTCTTCCCTGTCCTCATCTTCTTAACAATATATGCTTTGATTTTACCTGATGTGTTAAAATTGTAACTGGCAACACAAGCTGTGAGTTTTGTTGTGTGTACATAGTCATGACTGTCTTTCACCTGTTGCAGAGTAAGTGGGCTTCTGTCTGTAAATAACCCCTTCTGGCTTTTCAGCATCAATAAATATATTTATATCTACACTTGGTGTTGTTTGTTCTTTTAGTTGTAGGTTGTATGAATGTCAGAGTTTTTGTATTTTTGTATTGGATCGATCAATCAATCAATCAATCAATCAATCAATCAATTCAAGACAAAGCACTCCTGAAAACACCCCCTACCAAAAACCAATTCAAGACTAGAACGTTTCTTTTCATCTCAATTTTAGTAAAATAAAGTTAAAGTTAAATATAATGTTAACAGGACATCAACAGCTCTGAGATAGCTTTTGTATTGTCATTCAAATTGGGGCCTCAATGGGCCTCTCTAAAAGATATGTACTTCCAACATGTCAGCAATCACAGAATGAGATTTTGTGGCTATTTAAGAGTTTATCTTTCTATTCGTCCTTGCCAAGATATTACACAATGCTGGGATTAGAGTTGGTCCTGATATTTCAAAGAGAGGAGCGCTCCTAAAATGTTATTGCTCTGTCAGCTATTCAGCTTCAGTGGGACATCATTAAGGTGTTCAAGAGTGGGCCATTCTGTCTATTTTGGGGCACTTCATCCCCAACTGTCTGCATGTGGAAACAGGTCAAACTAGACATTGTTATACAGGTATTTTTAGGGTGCTTCACGCACTATCTACATATTCCGTTGCAGGTGGGGCAGGATTCGCTCACCTTTTTGCGAACACCTCGTGTCATCACTATTTGAGAGTCATCCATTAATACATGCTCATGATATGTAGGATATGGTCTGAAAAGTCACGATTGGTTTTGCGCGTGGGGTTCGTCCGAGGCCGTTTGGGCCAGGACGAGACGCACAAGCTGCACATGCAAAACTTATCCTGACTTTTAGGACCATATCCAACTTAAAACAAAGTCGCTGTTAATTGCGGGGTTGACTCTTGGAGGTTGGTTATTTAAACACGGAAAAGATCGGAACTGAGCGCGCAAACACAACTATGTTCGGACTAAACTGTTGGAGTTTCATCTGTTTGAAAGTGCCGGAGATTCACGTGCATTTGTCATTGTGAGCGAAACATTCGAACGATAAGGTGAAACTTTTTGTGATAATGTTCCTTTTGAAGAAGCATATTATCCGATCTTGTATTTAACTAAGAGCGATCTGTTGAACGTTGATTTTTGTGGAAGTGATTCAGAACTTCTTGAGGCATCACAAAGAGTTGAATCTTTAAATTAAGAAATTCGAAAAATGCTCTCTAGAGGTAAGCTGTCTGTCTATCTGTCCGTCTTTGTATCTATCGGAGCACCAGAGGCCCAGTCGTCAAAGGCGCCGCAATTCGCTGAGCAAAGTTACGTTACACACAAGTAACCTATGACTGTGGGTTCGAATCCTGGTTCGCCCCAATTGTGTTTTATAGGTTTGTCAGCACCATACCTGTGTAAAGCAATCGAAGTATCAAAGTAATAAACCTCTTAGACCTGCACCACTTCGGGCTTTCCTACCACATTAAGCTGACAGGCTGTGATATTACTGGAATAGTGTTCAAAGCAGTGTTAAACCCAACCCACTAATGCCTGTATCTGTCGATGTGCCTGGCGCTCAGTCATTCGTATGTATCTGCCTTGATATTGAATTATATAAATCAGTTTATGACATTTGATAATTATAGGCAATGCAATGGTTGATACTGTACATATGCGATATAGAGCTTATTATACGAGCATGACATTTGTGTGTGTCATATTGATTTTAGGAAACGGATGGCAGAATTCTTGTAATTCCCGACCGATGGCGAGTGTAATACATGAAATCTTACGTGAGTTTCGCAAAATCAGTGTGGTACACATCGGGGTGTAATAATGTCCTTATTACCCACTATTTCTTCATCCTTTGAGCTCCCGTCTTTAGATATGACGTCATTTTGTGTGAGACGTCATTCCGACCTTACGTCACAATAAGATTCAAATGACGTTAACAATGCCGTCCGGATGACGTACACAATACAATGGGGCGCCGGAAGTGATATTTGCACCACTGCACATACGGTTATTGTGAACTCGGTTATTTGAAGCCAATGTGTAATAAACTGAGTTATTATTAACATAGTTATATTTCTGAAAAACTCAGTTTTATTTCCATATTTCCTGCAAAATACTGATACTTAATATATATTACGTAATTTTCTTCAGGCAAAGGAAAGGTAAGCAAATACAAGCCATTCTAACTGTGCCCCTCCAGTACACGACGGTGTGCTGAGACTGCTGTAGGAAAACAGTCTCTGAGATTATCTGTATCTGAGCTCTATAAGAAAGGTGATGATTTTTTTCAAAGTTTCTTCAGTTACCAATTGTTGCGGGCTACGGTAGACGAATGTTTAGTCACAGAAATAAATATATATAATATACAAAAAATAAACGGAGACCAGGCCAATACTTAATTTCAGAGCTAAGGCCATCTGAACTTGCTAAATCATTATAGACTCGAGTTCATTTCTTCATTTATTCCTTTAGGCCTGGGCGACAGACTCAAACGACGGCGGCAACCAGGATTATGAAAGTCCGGCCTTGACGAACAGTTAATAGCAGAACGAACTGACCACAGCTATTTGTAGGTACAAGGTAGATATATAATATGAACTGATCGAAGCATTATTAATTTGAAAGCAAAAAATATTTTCTTGTTTTTTATTTCGAAAAAAATGTAATTGATATCAGTTCAAATTGTATTGTTGTATGCAGCATAATTATTTAGTTGTGAAATATATTAATTTAATTTATAGCGTGACGATGTTGTTGTTCCAAATTGTTTATTTGCCGTTTGTATGTCATATGGTCACCACATATGCTCTAATGGAGAGCCATGATTGACGGTGAAGTGTTCCTGGCGCACCTGCTATATTGGTTGCTGTGTCCCTGTAGATGAGAACAGTATATTCGGTTTAATGCACTGTTTCCTATTTCAGTGTCTGAGTAGCGCCAATAACTACGTTTTAAAAGATGTCCTGCAAAAGTATGTACAGTTTTTTTGTATTTGATAGGCAATATATCAATGTGAAAAATGCAGAAAAAGAATATTGAAAATTTTCTTGTTTACACTTTATTTGCGAGAACATCTGCTGAGATGGAGGACCGCGTGAGCAGTGTTATCCGTGGCAAGTCCTTGAAATGTGCCACTGCATTTACCAAAAGTTTCATCTAGAATCGAAGGCAACAGTACCTGCTTCAACGGGAGACTCAAAAGGTGGAATGGTAGACATGGCTGCCCAATCAACGTCAACATCGGCATCGGAGAAGGATTCGGAAGTTCATCTGCCTGATGGAACAGTTGTCCTTTTCCTTCTTGAATAAACTGCTTAATTATTTGTTGTTTGTTTTATTTTACAGTAAACAATTCTAAAGTTTTGTATTATCATTTCACTCATTTGAAAATGAATGCGTTGCGTTTTGGCTATTTTACGATGATTTAACTGCATGCGTTCCTGTACTATTGGATGCCCGTGAAGATCCGGGATAGAATAGGTCTTCAGCAACCCATTCTTGCCGTAAAAGGTGACTATGCTTGTCGCAAAAGGGGACTAACGAGATCGGGTGGTCAGGCTTGCTGACTTGGTTGATGCATGTCATCGGTCCCAATTGCGTGGATCGATGCGCATGATATTAATCACTGGATTGTCTGGTCGAGACTCGATTATTTACAGACCGCCGTCATATAGCTGGAATATTGCTGAGTGCGGCGTTGAACAACAAACCAACCAACCAACTGTACTATTGGAGGTTGAACATTATAATTAGTTGAAAACTATTGGAGGACATCCAGCCGTTATGCTGTCTATTGGCGGTAATCAAGATTACCCGACAGCATTGCATTTAATTTGTGTGTTAACAGGTCAGAACATTCTCGATTAGTTCCTAGTAAGATGTATATGTATTTGTCAATAGAAAATATTTGATTCCACATTGTTCCATTCAAAATGCATGTAATATATCTACTAATCATTTTTGCATGTATAGGTATACATATGGGCTGAACTTTTACGTCAGAAATGATTTCAAATGATATGCTATCCCTCAAAGTATGTCAGTTTTTTGGCGGACTGTTCCCATATGCTTGGTTAGGTATAATAAAGCCCACAGTGACAAATGACTGCAGAGAATAGCAACAGAGTAAGTTGTTTTAGTGCTGTGGCTGTTACTCTGCCCTGAACACCACGCCGAAGACCCGGGTTCGATTCCCGACATGGGTACATTGTGTGAAGCCCATTTCTGGTGTCCCCCGCCGTGATATTGCTGGAATATTGCTAAAAGCGGCGTAAAACCATACTCACTCACTGTTACCTTGCCCTGAACACAGGTGGGTGGCTCCACGCGTTGAGAGTTCACTGATGCGACACTGTTTGAGATTACTGACCATCCTGTTAGCTTCTGCTGTTGCATCTCCAGTGTTTTCATGATAATTCAGGAACTGGTTTGACCATAATTATGGTGAGAATGTTGTTTTATTTGGTTAACCCAAAGTGAAGAGTGAAATGTATACCTTTATAAAATGCCTGATATGGATTGTTTAAGTCAACCTATGGCGATTCCACAAAGTCAAATACTTCGCGTCACAGAGAAGTGGTCAATAAGTCTTTTTAGATGGCCACAGGTAGAGGCTCGATCTCATTTGAACAAGGTGATAGCGAGGTAGTCTAACTGTCCTCGAACCATGCCATTTTCCCTTCCGCCCGTCCCTTACTGTAACGTGCAGCACTAAATGAAGCAAGTCTAGATTTTCCACAGTGATCTCCCATCTCACTGGGCTTCTTTTCAATTCAAGTGTAGTTGTTTCTTTCAAACTTATATATTATTTTTTCAGAGACGAAGCGTTAGTCTAATGGCAATGGCACATCCTGACGTATTTGCTCTTGTCAAGGTGCTGCAGAGCTGGGAGAAACAGAAAGAGGTTTGGCCAGATGATCCGTGGTTCCGCTCCACCCCGCAAGAGGACGTACAGTGAGACTGACCAGAGGCTCCAAGACCAGTTCCGTGCAGGAATGAAGACCCCCTTGAGTTTCTGACTGTTGCCAGACATGGAGTCAATTGGACTAGTTCTCTTTATGACTGAGATTCCGGGGTAGTATAGGTCTTCAGCAACACATGCTTGCCGTAAAAGGCGACTATGCTTGTCGCAAAAGGCGACTAACGGGATCGGGTGGTCAGGCTCGCTGACTTGGTTGATGCATGTCATTGATCCCAATTGCGTGGATCGATGGTCATGATATCAATCACTGGATTGTCTGGTCCAGACTCGATTATTTACAGACCGACGTCATATAGCTGGAATATTGCTGAGTGCGGCGTTAAACAACAAACCAACCAACCAACCAAATCTTAATGACTGACTCTGTTATGACTGAAAATGTCACGTGAATAATTAAACAAATATCACACAACAGCCGTTTGGTGTATTACTGCCACTTATTTTAAGGTTGAAGATAGGCATTGAGAAACAACTAGTGCATAAATTTGTTTATTAACATTGTAGGCAATAATAGAATCCATCCAATGCTTTACTGTGATCGTCAAAGGTGACACTGAATTGTGTTCTTGTTATTTTGACCATGCGTTTTTGTAGGTTAAAATAGGCCCCAAGCTGAACTGGTTCCATTAACTTAGCGCTACTCGTTTTGATGGACATGACCCCAGTCCACCCCTGTGACCCATGTAGCTTGGACTCGTTTTGATAACATTCATTTTAGTTCATTTTAGGCCTGCTTTGCTGGCTTTAGTTCTTCAAAATCCTAAGAAGAGTTATCCCCCTTACACTATCGACACACACACACACACACACACACACACACACACACACAATCACACACACACACACACACAATCACACACACACACACACACACACATATAATAAATTTGACCTTGAAATAAGACTGCTAAGGCAAGGCTTGTAGGAAGTGATAAATATCTGGAAAAAAAATAATTGAATTTCCTGAACTGCCATATTTCTAAAGCTGTAGTTCTAGAACTTGGTGAGAGATAAAAAACGACTCATTGAAATGTCATAACTGCATATTATTTAATACCCGATTAAAAGCATTGGGGCTTGATGAGTGAGTGAGTATGGTTTTACGCCGCTTTTAGCAATATTCCAGCAATATCACGGCGGGGGACACCAGAAATGGGCTTCACACATTGTACCCATGTCGGGAATCGAACCCGGGTTTTCAGCGTGACGAGCGAACGCTTTAACCACTAGGCTACCCGACCGCCCTGGGGCTTGATGATAATAATACGAAGCCTATTCTTTTACATATAACACGATAGTAAAGAAGTAAAGTTATTTGTTGTAACATTTTGTGTATTTTCAAAGATAACCGCTGCTAGTATGCTCGTATCGACTTTTCCTCCATACACAAAGCAATCAGCTTGGGGCACACAAAGCTATACCCTCAACCATTTTACAACCACCTTGGGTGCTTTTACTAGTCCAATATGGAAAGGAAACATCCCAAGTTCTCTTATGAACACTTCTGATAGCAATGTCTCTCAGTGGACCTCATGTCATGAAAGGGACAGTGTGCACTTCTGATAGCAATGTCTCCCATTAGACCTCATGTCATGAAAGTGACAGTGTGCACATTTCCCGTAACCTTGCCATGTGTGTTATGTGGATTGTGTACAATTGCAAGATAAATCAAAACCAAAGGACATGCAAAACATGTCAAACCCCCTTCGTAGTTGTGACCCTCTTGAAGACCTGGTGACTATAGAATATACACGGGGCAGAGTATATTCTGTAGAAAGTCCTTGGTGAGAGGTTAGACAACAAGGCCCCGTAAAAACAATAGGATGAATAGAGGTTTATAACTCTTAACATAGGGCAGGTTTGGCAAGATATAGACTTCGGAGAAGAATTATTCATTGAGAAGTGCATGTGTAATTTTCAAAAGGGAGGATTGTCAATGCCCCCCACCGGCTCTGGATCCACACGTTATCTAATCAGTGAATCTGGTGGAGAGTCGTGTAAACGTTAGTATTACACTCAATGTCCCTCCTGATGTAAATCCCCATGTTTGACAGCAGGAAATTGCATGAAAATCAGCAACCCCCTTGTAACAGTCGTACACTTATCTTGGTCCATTAAATTATCTTATCTGACAAGGCAGAACACATGGAAGATGTTGAACACGGGGTGTTTCTATCAACAGCACTACTGTGAAAGAGTTGTTTAACAGATAGCATGCCCTGCCCTGTAATGGACGATAGGAGTTGAATATTTCAGCAGGTGGTTGCATATGCCCCAACTACGTTTCTCAGAAACATGAATAGCAATGCACATTTTGATACGTCCGTGTCTGCCGTCCACTATAAATGGATAATGATAATGCGTCCCTTGGCTGCAAGGATCCGCTGGGTGTATTAGCGGCCTGATAATGATCCTCGGTCTGTCAGCATTTTCCTATCGTCGGTGTCCCATAGTCAGGGTGATGAACTGTAAGCATGAACTGAAATTATTTGTCCCGTGAAGATCCGGGGTAGAATAGGTCTTCAGCATCCCATGCTTGCTGTAAAAGGCGACTATGCTTGTCGTAGGCGGTGACTTACGGGACCGGGTGGTCAGGCTTGCTGACTTAGTTGATGCATGTCATCGTATCCCAATTGCGTGGATCGATGCGCATGATGTCAATCACAGGATTGCCTGGTCCAGACTCGATTAGTTACAGACCGCCGTCATATAGTTGGACTATTGCTGAATGCGGCTTTGAACAACTAACAAACAAATGTATTTATTTATTTATTCGGTATATCCTTACCAATGTGTAAGTTGCGAGTTGCTATCATTCCCTATTCAGCTGGGGGCACGGGTGGCCCAGTCGTCTAAGGCGCCGCGATTCGATATGCAGAGTTGCGTCCCTTGGGCACGCCAGAAACCTATGATTGTGGGTTCGAATCCCGGTTCGCCCCCATTATGTTTCTAGGTTTGTCAGCACCATACCCGTGCTCGTGGGTTTCACCGAAGTGGTAAACGTCCGAGACCTGCATCACTTCGGGCTTTCCTCCCACATTAAGCTGACACGCCGCGATATAACTGGAATACTGTTAAAAGCGGCGTTAAACCCAACTCACTCACTCACTCCCTATTCAGCTGCCACGTGTTGATATACTACTCCACTCTTGATAGGGATGTGTGTCTTTGCATGACGTCATATGTCAAGACTTAGTGCATATGCGGTGTATTTCAATACTAGGCCCTAGTTGTCATGTCATCAAAAAGGTATATGCACCCTTTTACTTTTGTCATGTCGATATTTGTATAACAGCTCTCCACAAAGTGACTTTAAACAGAAAGGAAGAAAATTCCTGACCC